TTCACGTGTCAAGATTAAACGATTTGTATTGAATTGTGAACTGCAATTGAATCACATTATACGTTTAAATGTGTTTGGCAGGCTTAAAGAGTGCGAAGGTCGTCATTTAAATTCTGAATTTTGTCGATTCTGCAAGACGACAAACGGTCACGATCTGTTTTGAACAAAACACGATATCTAATTCATAGTCCTGCCAAGGACAGACTATAAAGGGGCCTGTTCAGCTTACGTTCACAACACTGCATTACCAATTCATTGGTTTTTACCAGGTTATACATACCAATATATTCTATTTTTTCTTTAATATTGAAACAAGATTATTCTTGACATACAGAAAAATATGGGTGTTTCTACGCGAACTTGCAACAGGACTCCCGAATTCACGTCACATATTATTGATGTTCAAAGTAAACTGAAACTATCTGCATGATCTAGGAGATCGTATAGACAGCACCTATGATCGGTGTTACACGTAATCTACTAACAAGCGTTATTCATTTTCTGAAAGCAAATTTTCATAAAAAGGTTACAGTTTCGATATTAACGTCCAAAACACCTCACTGGCACAAGGACAGTCATCAAAATAATAGTCCTTCACTCTCATAGAGTTCCTCGCTATATACAAAACGTCTGCCACTATCACATGCTATCATATCATCAATTGCAGTAGTCGCCTACCCGCCAAACAACAGCTTTCTGCGGGTACTCTGCGAAAGCGGCTATATTTGCGGGTATTTTGCGCCTGGTTCGAAGTGAAGCGGTTGTTTTTGCGGGTACGCTGTGCCTGGTGCCATTGAAATCGATTTACCTCAAGACACGTAACAACGACAAAACATACATGAAACGACGTCTTCCATGGCGCGTTTTTGCGTGTAGGATACTACAAAGTCACGTGGCTTCCGCACGTTGATCATGGAGTCCCTTATTGTTAAAGAATACATGAATCAAAAAGTACATCATTTAACCCCACTTTTGTTTATTTTGGGATTAAAGAAAGATTTTACGATCTCCAATGTCGACTTTCTGTATGTTTTTCAACAGTCAGAATATCTGACTCAAAGTTCACTTCCTGCATGTTTATTAGTAAATACAATGTATCTATTTTATCTCAGCCTGAAATTATGGAGCCATCTTTTTATTTACACTTGAAGGAAAAAATTAATACGTGAGAGCAGTTCTGCTACACAATGTAAAATAGTTTTCATGTAAGAACATAAATCCCCCCCCACCCCTACCAAGATTATAAATTCCATATCCCTATACATTCGACAGACTCTGTTAATAATATTTTTAAATTACTTTTAAATAAACTGAAGTGAGCCCCACAAGTATAATCTTGTCCACCCTGGTATATAGTAGATTTCTACCAACTGAAAAATACAACAAAAAACAGATGACCACTTCTTGTATCTTTTATTGGCGACGCTGTGTCCCAAGGGAGGTAACTTGTGAATTTCTACACAGCACCTACTAACGTTATCACATTAAATTACTGATAAATTGTTCATCTAAAAATAATTAAAAATCACAAGATGATGTTGAAGATACATATACGATATAAAATGTTTTGCTCAAGCTTTGCATACTGAATACAAGGTTATTTTCTGTGGCTGTATTATTTTGGTGGTACAATGAATCAATAAATTACACATGACTGTCAACATTTTAAGTAAACTTCAGTCTACACTTATGTTTCTGAAAACGGACAATTGTAAACTGTATATTCAACACAGCACAAGCTTACAAAATAACGCTGTATGCAATCAAAGTTGTATACATTGTACACAATAAAAAATGTTTACATTGTATACATCGTAGACATTGTACACAATCAAAATTGTATACATTGTACACAATCAAAGTTGCATACATTGTACACAATCAAAGTTGTATTCATTGTACACAATCAAAGCTGTATACATTGTACACAGTCAAAGTTGTATACATCGTACACAATCAAAGTCGTATACATTGTACACAATCAAAGTTGTATACAATGTACACAATCAAAGTTGTATACATTGCACACAATCAAAGTTGTATACATTGTACTCAATCAAAGTTGTATACATTGTACACAATAAAAAATGTTTACGTTGTATACATCGTAGACATTGTACACAATCAAAATTGTATACATTGTACACAATCAAAGATGTATACATTGTACACAATCAAAGTTGCATACATTGTACACAATCAAAGTTGTATACATTGTACACAATCAAAGTTGTATACATTGTACACATAATCAAAGTTGTAAACATTGTACACAATCAAAGTTGTATACATTGTACACAATCAAAGTTGTATACATTGTACACAATCAAAGTTGTATACATTGTACACAATCAAAGTTGTATACATTGTACACAATCAAAGTTGTATACATTGTACACAATCAAAGTTGTATACATTGTACACAATCAAAGTTGTATACATTGTACACAATCAAAGTTGTATACATTGTACACAATCAAAGTTGTATACATTGTACACAATCAAAGTTGTATACATTGTACACAATCAAAGTTGTATACATTGTACACAATCAAAGTTGTATACATTGTACACAATCAAAGTTGTATACATTGTACACAATCAAAGTTGTATACATTGTACACAATCAAAGTTGTATACATTGTACACAATCAAAGTTGTATACATTGTACACAATCAAAGTTGTATACATTGTACACAATCAAAGTTGTATACATTGTACACAATCAAAGTTGTATACATTGTACACAATCAAAGTTGTATACATTGTACACAATCAAAGTTGTATACATTGTACACAATCAAAGTTGTATACATTGTACACAATCAAAGTTGTATACATTGTACACAATCAAAGTTGTATACATTGTACACAATCAAAGTTGTATACATTGTACACAATCAAAGTTGTATACATTGTACACAATCAAAGTTGTATACATTGTACACAATCAAAGTTGTATACATTGTACACAATCAAAGTTGTATACATTGTACACAATCAAAGTTGTATACATTGTACACAATCAAAGTTGTATACATTGTACACAATCAAAGTTGTATACATTGTACACAATCAAAGTTGTATACATTGTACACAATCAAAGTTGTATACATTGTACACAATCAAAGTTGTATACATTGTACACAATCAAAGTTGTATACATTGTACACAATCAAAGTTGTATACATTGTACACAATCAAAGTTGTATACATTGTACACAATCAAAGTTGTATACATTGTACACAATCAAAGTTGTATACATTGTACACAATCAAAGTTGTATACATTGTACACAATCAAAGTTGTATACATTGTACACAATCAAAGTTGTATACATTGTACACAATCAAAGTTGTATACATTGTACACAATCAAAGTTGTATACATTGTACACAATCAAAGTTGTATACATTGTACACAATCAAAGTTGTATACATTGTACACAATCAAAGTTGTATACATTGTACACAATCAAAGTTGTATACATTGTACACAATCAAAGTTGTATACATTGTACACAATCAAAGTTGTATACATTGTACACAATCAAAGTTGTATACATTGTACACAATCAAAGTTGTATACATTGTACACAATCAAAGTTGTATACATTGTACACAATCAAAGTTGTATACATTGTACACAATCAAAGTTGTATACATTGTACACAATCAAAGTTGTATACATTGTACACAATCAAAGTTGTATACATTGTACACAATCAAAGTTGTATACATTGTACACAATCAAAGTTGTATACATTGTACACAATCAAAGTTGTATACATTGTACACAATCAAAGTTGTATACATTGTACACAATCAAAGTTGTATACATTGTACACAATCAAAGTTGTATACATTGTACACAATCAAAGTTGTATACATTGTACACAATCAAAGTTGTATACATTGTACACAATCAAAGTTGTATACATTGTACACAATCAAAGTTGTATACATTGTACACAATCAAAGTTGTATACATTGTACACAATCAAAGTTGTATACATTGTACACAATCAAAGTTGTATACATTGTACACAATCAAAGTTGTATACATTGTACACAATCAAAGTTGTATACATTGTACACAATCAAAGTTTTATACATTGTACAATAAAAGTTGTATACATTGTACACAATCAAAGTTATATACATTGTACACAATCAAAGTTGTTTACATTGTACACAATCAAAGTTGTATACATTGTACACAATCAAAGTTGTATACATTGTACACAATTAAAGTTGTTTGTATCCATAATATAAATATGATTCTGAAAATTGAGACAGTTATAAGATTTATTTATATTTTTCAAGGGCATCACCAAAGAAAAACATCACCTCTTTAAAATACAGAGGAATGTCATTATATTGGACACTTTACATTTTGACAACCACTAAACATACTGGAATGCATGTAAAATGTTTTATGCAGTTGTACCTCAGCTAGAAATTCGGTTTTACAGGCTGGATTGGAGCAGTAGCAGTGTTTCATTCTATCAGTATTTAGCCTTAGTGGTACAACAATGTACCTCAGTTTTAATTACAGCCAGTTCAAAACGAAGATGTTACATTCTATTACAGTACATATCTGTCTCAACACTATCCTTAATCTACATGGCTATAGATCATACAGTAGATCACTTCCCAGATCATAGCCATCACACAAACTTCATTAGCACCAACATCAAAACCCTGACATATAATAGCTTCAAAAAAATAAAAATGAAAAAATAAGAAACTCATTCAAATTAGAAAATACATTCCTCTGGATTTGTGTCAGGAAAGTAAGCTATCCTAAACAAAAACTCCGGTCCTGTGCCTGTATTGATGAAACCATTCCCATATTCAAGCATGGATTCTACGCTCAAACCAACTTTCTTGTTATTCACTAAAATAATGTGACATTGTCAAAAAGTCAAGTGTTATCAATGTAGATGATACCCAGCTTTTTTTTTTTTTTTTTTTACAAATCCTCAACAAAATAGGATTTTTTAATAATTCTGGCAAGGAATCTGACTGAGCATGAGAATGATGGCCCTAGATCTGTAAGATTCCATCTGTCACTAACAGAGATACAACAAAGGATCTACTGCCTCTAATAACTTTTTGTCAGGCTGACCAAGCCAATAATGATATAGTAATCTCTATTGATTCTGTTTGAACAGACATAAATGTTTCTGATCTTTCATCAGGTTGTTTCCCAAATTACAACCACAAACTTCTCACAGAAAATTGATCAAATTTCACTTTCATATACTGGTACAATGTTTTGAAGGAAATATTTCCTCCAAACACATTATCTTTTTTATGTCTGATAATAATTTTAAATCACACACGAATGATTTACAATACATTTACAACAGCTAATGACATGTTCTGCTATCTAACAGTATGTCTTATATATAAAACAGCATATTTTGTAATTTCAGACACTGAATTAATCTATAATATTCATTCCTGTAATTAAATTCTACTTAAAGTTTGCCCTTTTTTTAAACTAAATACCTGATGACAGTTTGCTTTTGTAATATTTTCAGGGCTCTATTTATTTTGTTTGTTGAGGATTATAAACTCAAGGGGAGATAAATCAAAAAGATTACTTCAACTTCATGAACTCTGTTTACATCAACACATGACCTTTACTAATAATGGAGCCCAGTACAATCACCAACACAATCATATTGTCCAAGGATACAATGTTCTAAATATTCATATGTTATTCTCAGGACATTGAACTAAGGTCAAGCGTCTGCCTTCAGTTGTCGTTCACTCAGCATCACCTTCTCCCCTGGTTTAAACGCTGGCATTCCTAGGTAAGGACAGCTGGCACAACGGAAAGCATCTCCAAGGTAACACTGAAAAGTAAACGGCAAATCAATGTCATTAGATTCTGAAAAATGTATTTAAATTTTAAAGGATGTAAGCTGCCTTTTTGTCTCCTTCCCAAAAAGAGTTCCAAACTTAACCTGGATGATTTTATAAAGGATTACACATTTAACAGTACTCAGGAATGCATGCTTTGATAAAACTATGGTAATCTGAATTATCTTATGAGATAAAATGAATTTTGAGAGAAATAATGTAAATCACAGGTAAAACGTGAAAGGCATCATAAAACCTGAATTTGAACAGGAAACCGCAAGTACAATGTACAAAGTAACTAAAATTTGTGAGAAATATAACAGGAAATCACAGGTAAAATGTGTGAAGTAGTATAAAACCTGTCAGAAATCTAACAGGAAATCACAAGTAAAATGTGTGAAGTACTAAACTAGTATAAAACGTGTCAGAAACCTAACAGGAAATCACAGGTAAAAAGTGTAAAGTATTAAAGTAGTATAAAACGTGTCAGAAACCTAACAGGAAATCACAGGTAAATTGTGTAAGGTAGGATAAAACTTGTCAGAACTCTAACAGAAAATCACAAGTAAATGTGTGAAGTAGTATAAATCCTGTCAGAAATATAACAGGAAATCACAGGTAAAAAGTGTAAAGTATTAAAGTAGTATAAAACCTGTTAGAAATCTAACAGGAAATCACAGGAAAAATGTGTAAAGTACTAAAGAAGAATAAAACGTGTCAGAAATCTAACAGGAAATCATAGGTAAACTGTGTTAAGTACTAAAGTAGTATAAAACCTGTCAGAGATCTAACAGGAAATCACAGGTCAAATGTGTGAAGTACTAAAGTAGTATAAAACCTGTCAGAATTATAACAGGAAATCACAGGTAAATTGTGTAAGGTAGGATAAAACTTGTCAGAACTCTAACAGAAAATCGCAGGTAAATGTGTGAAGTAGTATAAATCCTGTCAGAAATATAACAGGAAATCACGGGTAAAATGTGTAAAGTATTAAAGTAGTATAAAACCTGTTAGAAATCTAACAGGAAATCACAGGAAAAATGTGTAAAGTACTAAAGTAGTATAAAACCTGTCAGAGATCTAACAGGAAATCACAGGTAAATTGTGTAAGGTAGGGTAAAACTTGTCAGAACTCTAACAGAAAATCACAAGTAAATGTGTGAAGTAGTATAAAACGTGTCAAAAATCTAACAGGAAATCACAGGTCACATGTGTGAAGTATTAAAGTAGTATAAAACCTGTCAGAATTATAACAGGAAATCACAGGTAAAAAGTGTAAAGTATTAAAGTAGTATAAAACGTGTCAGAAATCTAACAGAAAATCACAGGTAAATGTGTGAAGTAGTATAAAACGTGTCAAAAATCTAACAGGAAATCACAGGTAAAATGTGTGAAGTAGTATAAAACCTGTCAGAAATATAACAGGAAATCACAGGTAAAATGTGTAAAGTATTAAAGTAGTATAAAACCTGTCAGAAATCTAACAGGAAATCATAGGTAAACTGTGTGAAGTAGTATAAAACCTGTCAGAAATCTAACAGGAAATCACAGGTAAATTGTGTAAGGTAGGATAAAACTTGTCAGAACTCTAACAGGAAATCACAGGTAAAATGTGTAAAGGATTAAAGTAGTATAAAACCTGTCAGAAATCTAACAGGAAATCATAGGTAAACTGTGTTAAGTACTAAAGTAGTATAAAACCTGTCAGAAATCTAACAGGAAATCACAGGTAAATTGTGTAAGGTAGGATAAAACTTGTCAGAACTCTAACAGAAAATCACAGGTAAATGTGTGAAGTAGTATAAAACGTGTCAAAAATCTAACAGGAAATCATAGGTAAACTGTGTGAAGTAGTATAAAACCTGTCAGAAATCTAACAGGAAATCACAGGTAAAATGTGTAAGGTAGGATAAAACTTGTCAGAACTCTAACAGAAAATCACAGGTAAAATGTGTTAGGTAGGATAAAACTTGTCAGAACTCTAACAGGAAATCACAGGTAAAATGTGTAAAGTAGTATAAAACGTGTCAGAAATCTAACAGGAAATCACAGGTAAAATGTGTTAGGTAGGATAAAACTTGTCAGAACTCTAACAGAAAATCACAGGTAAAATGTGTAAGGTAGGATATAACATGAACTCCAACAGGAAATCAAAGATAGAAAATGTAAGGAAGCAGATTTTACTATGAAGGCCATTTTGCCAGGTTTCACAATTTGATTTGGGATCATGCATCATATTAAAATGAATCAATATATATTCACCATAGAGAATAATACATGCCTTTATCCATATCAAACCCAGTCTCAAAAAGACATGTTTTATTCTGTTTATTTCATATTAACTTATATAATACGGATAGATCTACTATCTTATGATCTATTTTAACGAAAAAACCCATAAAAGGGGTGTGATGCGAGTTTTGCGGGCTGATACAGATTTTGGGGTGTGATACGTCGAGGGCTGATACAGATTTTGGGGTGTGATACATCGAGGGCTGATACGGGTTAGAGCAATTGTGTCGTATTGCATTTACAAAAACCACATATTTATTTGTCAGTATGTAATAAAGTGTTTTATCACTATCTTTGTTATAATATTTTGCTTTTTTATGATGTAATTCATTCATGATTTTATACCTTTTCATTATGTACTTGCTGTTTAGGTTTTGTCTTTAGTATTCTGTGACATAGAATACACAAAGTGATATTGGTAGAAAAGTTGGGATGCAAAAGGTTATTACACTTTTCTCAATTCCTCAATATTTCTCAATTTCACCCAGAATTTACTGGAGACAAAATTTCTGATTTCCATCCTTGTTTGAATAAGTATTTACAATCAAATAATTTCTATACCTTGACTAAAATGGTTGGTTCCATTTTAGCTACAACAAGTAATTTATGAACTCACGCTTCCACAGGCGGAGGTGGCTGTTTTAGGTTTCGGTGCCTCGCCCGCCAGTTCCTCTGCCAGACCACAGGAGCAGTTCTTACATGCCTTCTTCTTAGCTTTTCCCCCACAGTCAGCTGGTTAAATGAAATAATGATTTATCAGCAATACATGTACTACAAATCAAATGAAATTCACAAGAGTTAGTTGAGGAGCACCAAAACAAATATACAATGTATTGCAATTACTGAGAGTTTTTAATTATCTTGCTAAATGAATTCTTAGGAGTAACTTTCTTTCTTTTGTGAGGTTTTGAAGTGATAACTAAAGTTGGGGATGAGGTAACTGACTCAAGCTATTTATGAAAACTATCATCCTGCTCAGTTCAGTTAAAATAACATATGGACAATTATCATATATATTTATCCAGATCAATGGATGTAGATTTCATCTTACCTGGTTTAAACACATTGATGTATGCTCAGTTTGACATAAAGTAACAAGACTGGAAATTTCATACTTTTAGGTTAAACCTACCTACCTACACCTACAGTTGTTGACAACATCAAACAAATGTATCTCCTTCATACAAACTTACTTAACTGCACCCACATGTACAATCTTGAGTTCAATGGTTTCATTATGAGATAATAACTCAGGTTTCCAGGAACAATTCTTGAATTTGAGTGTAAGACAGTATAGTGTAGATAATCATATTTTATATATTTATTTCCATATGTCCCTACTGTTATAAGACTGACCATAAACTTGGACATTAAATATCTTTACCTTTCAGAGAAGCTGGGTCTGGCTTCTTCAAATCATCTGCGTCCAACAAGTCATCATCATTTACCATCTCCATATCCTCATCCACCATGTCCATACTCGACAGTGTCCACACCTTTGCTACATTTTCATCCACTTTATGTTCAACTGTTGGGATAAATTGATTGATAACACATGTATACGTGTTTGTAGTACAGAGGTTAAACTTAAAAAGTAGCGGTCATGTTGAGATGAAAATATATAACATTATGTCCCATTTCATAACTCAGAGTACACACTTTTCACTGGATTACACACATTTACAAATTATGAGAGAAAATGCTCTTTCATAAGTACAGTACATGAATGTTTGGGTGAAAGCTAAGGAAATTTCTCTCTTACAGTTAATGAACTGGAGAAGTTTCACTGAGTATAATCACAGACAGAATGTGTGGAGTTCACCTCTCATCCACGTACATTAACAAGCTCATTAATACTGTACAGGGGTATAATCCGTAGCTAGATTATCTTTCCCTTTGTCAACATTAATTGGTTTCTTTCAATTACTTCAGTTAATTACAACACATTTGGTTATTTAATGCAATCCCTATCTATACCTTTACCTTTCTTTTTTCCAAAAGAAATTTTAAGTTGTGAAGAGGAACCAACTTCATATCCAGGCTTGAAACATGTACAGTGTGTTATTGTGATGTTACTTTCAGGTAACTGTAAATTTGACTGCAGGCTCTGTTTGTCTTCATTCGTCAACTCTAAAGTCACTGGCTGAGAAACAAAAACATTAACATATTCACAAACGTTTAAGCAAGAGAGATAAATGACAGTCATTTGAAACAACAATCAGTTAAATTTCATTTTCTATATGAAACTAGATGGCAATCATGAGCCTGATTGCAAACACTTAATATAAAGGCTTACATATTCATCTAAACTGCAATGGTTATTGAAAGAAGATATGCATACCTACTTTTGAAGACCGAGTCTATTTGCTCTACATAAAATTACACTGTGAGAAATCTGATCTGTACAGAGTTTTGGAAATAGAAAATAAGTTGGTTGAGTTATTACTTACCTCTGATATATTAACGAAGCCAGACAGTTTTAAGGCAGAACATAGCTTTTCAGTTGTTCGAACTTTAGAATCTGTTATTTCAGAGGAAACAGTTGGTTCAAAGATAAAAAATGTTCCTTTTGGCTTGAGGATGCGGCAGATCTCTCCCAGACTATTGGTGTCGTGTAGAGCACTGGATGGCTGTAGTAGTCCTGACACCACAACATCAAACACAGAATCAGGGTGAGACGCTGGAACAGACAATACTTACATATATCAGATGACACTTCGTGGTGGGAAGGTGAAATTTGTGAAAAACATCATTATGGCTACTTAGTCCATGGTACGTAATAACAGAAACAGACATTTGTTTGATGAGCTAACAAGTCTTCAATAACATTACAATTGATTCAGCTGATAAGATTTACTTAATAATTTTTCAGAACCAAGATTGAGTCCAGATCCAAATCTATCTTCGGTATATAGTTTACTTGACTCAAATATTTAAAATATGGGGTTGAAGATTTTCCTTTATTTAATTTAAATTCAAGTTATAAAAAATTTCATTTTTTCACTTAAAGCACTAATGCTAAGGATAAGTGACCCAAAACACAAAATGCATTAGAATGGCCATCACAAAATTTACCAGGGTAAGTGACTTTACACTATCACCAACATACTTCACGAAGACGGCTCACTCTAAGAAAATACATACGACATGAGGACAGCCTAATATAGAGAGCTCTGACTTATACTTTGTATATGTACCTAGATATTTATATAACATATACTTTACCATATCATGCTATTTGACTTACATATTGCCAATCTTTCAATATGCTCTGGTTGTACTTTGCCAGCATCTCCTACAAGTGTATTAAGTGATTCAATAACATTTTTGAAACTTGAAGGTGGCTGGCTTCCTGACCACAAAATCAGTACTTTCTGTCCATTTTTCACTTCAATCTTGTCCAGTGTCATGTTGCCTGGGAAAAAAACAAGACGAAAAGAAGAATTTCATTTAAATGCAACTTGAAACACATGTACTGGTATAATGCTGAAATAAAACAAGGTACATTTAGTTATTCTGCTGGATAAAATCATAACCTTAACTGTCTTTCAAGATCAATGGTAAATCGACTTCAGCAACTTCTAGAAATTTAGTGAGTAATGTTGAATATTGTTTCGAAGTGTGTTTTCAGGAATTATGGCATTATGGCCACAGCCCTATTTCATCCAAACTTGATGTTATTTTGAACTTTTCTATTAAAGACTAATCAGGATATTCATAAAGTAATCACTAATTGACCAAATAAAAATAATAAACTGCATTGCTTCTTCATAGCTTGTAAAAGAGAAATTAAACTCTGCATGAACAGAGACGTATAACGCCACTCTGTAGCATATAAGTCTCTGGCTAACCTAGGTATTGTATGAACTTTAGATAAAAATGTCATTTTGTAGCATTCAGCAAGGCTACAAAAGAGATTGACATGTCAGCAAAGCTGCTGGACAACATTTTTTTTTATGAAAATGACCTACAACCAGGATCGAGGTAACGGATTCTGCATACTTGAATTTATTCAATTATTATTACAGAGAATGTATATCAATTGTTAATGACAATAATTTTGTCATTCAGAATATTCTGTTCACACACAATGTCCTTACATTTTGCACTATTTCCACTCAATAATTTTCCAACAGCACCCAAATGTACATTTTTAACTGCACATTTAAATGTAAGCGATTTGGTAATATGTCATCTTCTGAGAGAGAGAAAAGGGATATTAACATGATTTACATCAAATAACATTTAACCTTTTTGTCATTTTTTTTTTACAAATATTTCGTTTGACAATGTATCTTTGGATAAAATATCAACTGTCTTCTTGATTAAAGTGGCAAGCGTAGCCCCTTCCCCGCTTTGGTTAATAGTTATTACTTCTATTACAATTGAAATAAATATGTCGTATTGATTGATTTAAACAATTTTTTTCTTTGCATCTAATATACAAAAGGGATTGGGCACAAGTTGTCCAACTTATGTAAAGCCTTTTCCCAATAACATAATAAAATATGTATACTACACCATCTTAAGAATATCCAATAGTGTTTAAAAAATAAACTGTAGGTAATGTTTCTGACTTTGTATCTTTTTTGGTTTTTAAGTCATAGAATCAATCACAACTGATGAAAAGCAGGTGGTACTAGATATTTATCTGTAATTGTAAACCTGTTTTGCCTATGCAATGGCTTCTTAAGGACAGAATATAGAATACTTCTACACCTGAAGTACTAAAAAGCTGGGTACATACATACACAGCTATGTACATTGCTTTATTGTTACATCAGTAAAATGAATATAAATTTTAAGAAGATTAGCTTTCATTGTAATATATATGATATAAATGTATGTTGAAACGTCATCAATAGATTTAGATAGATTACTTTGTACCGCCATACACCACAATGTTTTGAGAACAGTCGTTCAAATACCCCTTTGTTGGCTCCTGATAACACTGCCACGCTCCATCAAAGAAATTTACCTATTTCGTTGATTTCACAGTTGACTCATCCCTGGGGGTCAGTCTTAGATGTTGCAATTACATATAGTATGTGTTTCTAATCAATTTATTAATTTTACATCTGAATACAATTTACCATATTACCTCTATCGGTTATTTATTCATTCACTCATATCATATGGCTTCTCAAAAAAAGGAAACAGGTTGTGAAGATATTCAATTCATTTTACAATTAAACGTCGAACTGTGGATGATAAATTGGACCAACAAATCGAAATTGATTTGATGATGTCGATGGGACATCGCCATTGTGCTCATCCTGCGAATACTGTATTGTTTTGCCACGTGACTGTGACGTACCGCATCTGGCTTTCACAGATAAAGGTGCGGATGCAGATTTCAGCGATCGCCGTGTTACAACAAGTCCAAGTGGACTTGATCTCGATCTCGATTTATGTTTGACTAATAAAATTGAGACAGTTTATTAAAATGATCAGATGCTTGCAACCCACTCAGGTATTATTGGACAATGACATTCTTGATGTAAAAAAATCCCGACGAGGCAGACTCTTTACGATATCCGCCTGGGTTGTAAGGCAGAGAAACAGGATATTGAGACAGTTCTTTATTTAGTCGAACACTTACACTTGACTGCAAGTCTGACATACAGAAATGATGGCATTTGCAGTAAAGAAATGTGAATATTGACACCGCTATGCAGACATTACTTGACGATTATAAGTAATCTGTAAATACAGGTACGTAAAACTGACACTCTCGCCGCGGTACTCGTAAAGTGTATATCTTGCATGTGACTCACTGATCGTAATACCAGATCTAAATCAATATTTCTGTACTAATTATTCTTTCAAAAACGGTGGGTACATTAAAAAATGCATATATACATGTATATTTGAGTTTTCATTGGTAAGTGTTGAATATGTGCCCCAAAACAAACTAGTGTTCATCCACCTGTCATTTAACAGGTTGGGCACAACAGCGCATATGGGTAATAATCCTGCATTTGGGTAACATCTTTGTATGTTATGGTATAGTCAATAGTACGTGAAAGTACGTTATACTATTAAGTAGAGAAGAAGATACATCTATACAAGCCCCGGCTTACCATTGATGTCAACTGAGCGAAACTGAGCGAAATAGTATCCTATATAAAAAATCAAAAATTTGTACTTCCAGGGTTCTCCCCAGGCCATTTAGCTGATACGGCTCCGTATCAGCTTCAGTTTGAAATCCTCCCTGCCGTATCAGCTTAATTGACCCGTATCACCTTAGACTGTGAACCGTATCACCTTGTTATTTGTACTGAAGGTGGTCTTTTTACGCAAGAAATTGACACTGATTAAATCACACGGCTGACCCAAGTCCAGCAATGACCCCACTGGTCATGATCAGTTGCACGATAGGCGTATTGCCACAGGGGGGCTGTAATTAGTGGGGAGGGGGACCGGACGACAAGCCCACAGGTGTCCGGCAAGCGTGCTCACTGGAGCCTAAAGCAATTACCACCGGATCCTTTTAGCATGGTCAACAGGTGATTAATTGAGGTACCTACTGTTGGATTAACAAAACAAACACTTATTACATCTATTATAAATTAATTTACTCACATATGATTGCATTTGACAACGCTGAAATAGCGTGTGTATTGAGTTAGTGATGGTCGCCATCTTGGATTGTGTAAAGTACAAACCGGAAAGGGAAATGAAAATCCGGATTTGTTGTTTTTAATGAAGAAGAGCTCAAATAAAAATGCTGTTTTAATCTTTGATCACATTTACTGACAGCAGTATTTAATACAGTTTTGGAGGAAATAAAAACAATGTACATTTTATTTAAACATTTTCTCTTACAATAATAAGAACTATGATATAAACGTTTTCATGTGAGTGTTTCCCCCTATAGCACAAACAGCTTTTAAATATTTCTTCTTTAAATTATTTTTAATGGGGATTAAGTAAAGGATACAAATGTAAAGATAAGAGACAAATGTCACAAATGTCATATCTATTATTCAATGTACAAAACTCATACACCTTTCTATAAATTGTTTTTTTTTTTAGAATATTAAAAACAATAATATTGCTGGAAATTCAGACATAAAAAACACTTATTTATTTCCTTGGTTTTAATGTTCACCAAAAGAAGTTTGGTTAATAAAAGTAACCTTTTAAACATAATATTACCCCCCCTCCCCCCGCCTTAGGTTTGATAAGGTATAATAAGGTATTATATTAGCGTGTCCGTCTTGAATTTTCGTTGCAGATGAAACATATCAGCTTAAAAAAATTCTGGGGAGTACCCTGTTCACTATCTTAATTAAAAATCGCTATTTATATGGTTATTATAAACAAATTTTGGTTGAACGTTTTTTCGTGTTTTGACATTTTCGTGATTTTAGATGTCCACACATTTCTAAGGCTTCAAAGGTCATGAAATACTTTCAAAACCGAAAACTGTTCAACCAAAAGTTGTTTGTAATAACCAATAGATATGGCGATTTTCAATAACGTAAGTGAAGTACGAAATTTTGATTTTTTTTTATATAGGATACGGGATAGTGAAAGTAGATTCGAAGTGCATTCAACCATAACATACAAAGATGTTACCCAAATGCAGGATTATTACCCATATGCGCCGTTGTGCCCAACCTGTTTAACAGGGAGAACTCGTTGTACCGCCAAAATGTCTTTGAACAGAAGGTGGCGGTATATCGGGGTTATACTGTATGTTCAATTGTCTCTTAGTAATGTGTGCAGTTCTAGGTTCGCCCTAGGTTATTTCGCGGTAGGCTGTTTTTCCGTAAAACAAAAATATTAGGGCGAAACATTGTTTGGTATTTTCTTTCAATTTTAGTAGTTTTAAGTCACAAATTAAGTCTTCTTAGTATTTACAACTTATCATTAAAATCAATTTCATAAAAAATGTGTTTGTCTTATTTTTAAGCGAGAGCTGTGAAAATACTATTTTTCTAGTAACGTTAACGTTTCTCGCGAGTAGAAAAAGACTGAAAAAGGGGAACGGTCAACGGGTTGTGTCAATACTATTTCAGTCGTTGTTCCGGTATATCATATTGATGAATAAAGTGCCTATTATGTTTCATCACAATAAAAGTTAAATTGTGAATCATGACATTACATACCGGCAAAGACTTCTGGCAGGGTTCTGGCAACTTCTGTTTTACGTTGTACACAATTTTTCTATGTCATAAAAACGTTTGTAAATTCGAACTCACACTTTAACAGATAAAACATTAACAAGACGCCGAGTTTAAACCGGAACTGTTGAACTATTGACTGTGGAAAATATTTCTTTTCTTAATTTTCATTAAATAAAGCAAAATATCTCAGTAAATAACTTATTTTTAATAAATACAAAGTTTACAGGAAGAACAGGCGTATTTACAACTTAACCATTTCCATAAATTCGCCAATCAAAATTGTTCTAGATCCGTTCGCCTGTTACGGTGGTTTTGATTGGTCAAATTTTAAAGTGCGGCAAGATCAAATTCGGACTCTGAACACCCTGAAAGTCACTGTTATTTTTCATTTTTTTCGAATCTATGTGATAGCAATTGCATAACATGGGGAGCGTAGAAAGGGACAATGAGTGGGAATATGTCGCACCACAATTTGTAGATTTTACAACAAATCCACTGGAAGATGCAGATAATCCAGATGACTGGTTCGGTAAGTGCGCGGCGGCACAAACGGAATATTTTTAGTTTTTCGCTGGACTTTCATGACTTTTCTCAAATGTTATCAACTAACCGCTGTTAAAAAACTAACTAAAGGAAAGGGAGGCTGATCTTTGTATTTTTCAAATCGACAGTAACTAAAATCGAGTCAGATTCGCTTCAGCAATATATTGAAGTGTACTGTACCGAATCGAGTTAGCTCCAGCTAAAGACGGGAGGGTAAGAGGGTCATCCCTTCTTCTTTGGGTTATCAGTAGTTCTTCAATGATCTGAAGATTATTTACTTTCTTTCGGACAAGTTTGTTGAATTTGGTTCTAGAATAATAATAATGTTTATTCAATGTTTGTACAATCAAACAAACATACACAATTTACAAACTAGATTATATCACAGCAGTAGTCACAGTTATAATTAGTTAAATTACACTGTTGGAATTTTTACCTTGGATAATATAACAGTTTAAACATAACTTATTTCCAACGGGGTCCATAAAAGAGCATGTCAGTTTGGTTGAGACAGCCAGATATTTAATAAATCTATCAAAATATGCCGCTATGCTGGTACAACTATAAGGGTGGGTAGGTGTTTCAGTATGGACGTGCAAATATAGAAGCAATTTCGGTGTGACGAATCACCGAAACGGACCGAATCGGACCGAAACGGACCGAAACTAAACCGAAACGGAGTCGAAACTAAACCGAAACGGAGTCGAAATGGAAACCATAAGCTATTTTAAGGGAATTCAATACAGTTTAGATTGTGTGTGAACAAAACGGACCCCGATCGGAACCGAAACGAAATTGTAAATGTGGTTTTTTTTGGTAAATTTGAGCTGTGTTTCTTTATTTGTCGTGTAGGCCTATATATTGTGTATATTATATATGCCAAATACATACAATAATGCATGTATCTATGTTATATAAATACAAGCACATGACTAGATCTTCATACATTAGAAAGGCAATTATATCATAATGCAGTGACGAGACATCGCATTTTTTTATACGTTACGTTAATTTCCCCCTTTTATTAATTTTTTCTCCGTTGGATTTCTTGGCTCATTTTGATATTATTTTCAATTTATTAAACGCTTAAAATATTGATAAAGTTGTCCATTTAAATGAGCAATCCATACTTATCACAGCATAAAAAATACTTGTGGCGGTATAGACACACTGTTAAATTTTGTGTAAATGGTTCTAAGATTTATAAATGGATAANGATGGCTCATTTAAATGGACAACTTTATCAATATTTTAAGCGTTAAATAAATTGAAAATATAATCAAAATGAGCCAAGAACTTCAACGGAGAAAAAATAAATAAAAGAGGGAATTTAACGTAACGTTTCAAGACAAGTGATGTCTCGTCACTCCATTCAATATAATTGCCTTTCTTATAATTGGGTATCTAGTCATGTGCTTGTATTTATATAACATAGATACATGCCATTATTGTATGTATTTGGCTTATATAATATACACAATATATGCACGACAAATAAAGATTTACCAAAAAAAAACCATTAACACTTCCTTTGCGGTTCCGATCGGGGTCAGTTTTGTTCAAAAACAATCTAAACTGTATTGAAGTCCCTTTAAATAGCTTATGGTTTCCATTTCGACTCCGTTTCGGTTTAGTTTCGGTCCGTTTCGGTTCCGTTTCGGTTCCGTTTCGGTCCGTTTCGGTGATTCGTCGCACCCCTTAAATTGCCTTCATTTTAATGAAGATAGATCTGTCCAAGACTGGAACAACCTCCCACGAGACCTGTGACCCCAACTGTAACTTTGGAAACCTTTAAAAGTGGTCTCCTCTCTACACAGTTAGCTCTGTACATGTTCTTGCATTCTTTTCCTGTACATTAGCACACTCCAAACATCAACATGATTTTCAATATGATGAATTAGGTCGATTAACAAGTAAGAGTAGAAATTGGCAAGAGAAAATGAGATACAAAGGGAAGTTTTCAAAACGTCTCTATACCAAATCCACTGTGAACTGTATGAAACGGATGTACCCTTCATGTTCATTCCCATCCTTTCAGCTGTCAAACATTTTTCATGAGATAATATGGTTGTCAAACAGTTATCTCGCACACACAGATATATATATATATGAGCCATTGTGTTTGGACAATTGTTTTACCATTCCAATAAGTGTGATGTGCTCACAAAAGTGGCTGAAAACTGAAGCGAAGCATATTATAGTCCTCTTGTCTCCATATTTTTCAACCATTTTTAGTTCTCAGTTTCTCTTTTTACAGTGTTGATGGATCGTTATAAAACAATAAAAAAAAACCTAACAAGCAAAAACTGCTTGCCTGGAATGAAAAACTCATCATATGAAGTAGGGTTTAAAAACTTAATCTTCCTGCATTATCCTATAGGAACATGTGTTCTGACATGGTGAGAGTTACATAAGAATTATCAGTTGGGTATATATGATCAGGAAAATTGCACGGTGATAAAATTAAGGTCAGAGGTGGGCACTTAACATGGGGAGAGAGGAAATTTCACGATTTTTTCCCACCAAGAGTAAATTCAACATCTAGAAGAATCCCTTTTACTGTCAAGTGCAAGAGGTGCACATATTATATATATTATATCTGCCCCAAATGTCAACCTTTTCATAAATAGTATAGGTTTATAGATATTGGGTAACATCCCCTAGGAGTCCAACTATGGACCTCTGGTGGCTAGTCTTAATGCTTTACCTTATGAGCTAAAGATCTAGGGAAAGTTTCTCTAACAGAGTTTGTAGGAAGCAGCTGGTATGTTACCAGGGTGACATACTCTCCCTCCAGGTGTCATAAGTGATTCTTGTGAAAGTATCATTAGGTATATATATTTGTCATGTTTTCTTGGGTTTAATTTAAATCCTCTGTATATTTCTGCTGCAGATGCTCCCTCTATTGGCGGGATAGAGGAGGAATATTTGGAAGAAGATGAAGACTATAATGTCTGTAATGGCATTGATGTAATCGAAGATGCTGATCAAGTAATAGAAAAAGCTGCTACCCCTACAACAGAAACCAGAAGGCTGACCAGATCCTTTGCTTCTACACCTGTCAATGATAAAGGACTGCCTGATGCATCTGGTAATTTTAGCTTTGCTATATCATTTTTACCACGTGGAAAGAGACTCTGAATTTTAAGAATATGTCGTTATTTAAATTGCAGAATGACATTTTCCTGATGTTGCTATGTTTCTGGCATGAGGAGGCCAAATAAAAAAAAATCTTGTATTTCCGCTAACCTAGATTTTTGTGCCTAACCTGAAGTTTTTACTTGCATTAAAGTCAGAACTCCTGCTCTATATAAACATAGTAAAAATATTTTCCAAAAGAAAGAAAATTGCCTGCCTACCTACCTACCATATTTTTTCTGAGGATGATGGCTGAAACACAAGTAATTTCTTTTTGTCCTGATGACTGCCCATTTTATGCAGTAAATTTTTATTGTACAGTATTTGTAACTTGTAACTTTTGAATTCATTACATGCATGGTTATCCAGGGATCAGTAGGTATGCCTGTGCGAACACTGCATTTCAATATTACTCTTTCAGATGCTAAGAAGACACCAGCAAGACAAAGTACACCTGCTAGGTCCACACCAAGAAGAACACCAGCCAGTAGTAAAGTAGCTACGAGCCCTGAACTTTCTGCCAGTGACGGTACTGAAACAAAAGGTATAAAATACAGATGAAGTCAGCTTTACATGATTTGTACATTTAGGACATATTCTGGTTGAAGATCACTACGTACTACATGTATTATTATTAATTGACATCAACATTTCCCCCGTAACTGCTTTTTAGGTGTCATCACTATCACTCACTCCACACATATATTATATTTTCGATTTATTTTCTGTGTGAAATAATAACATGCGGCTCGAGTCTAGAACTGAAATGAACTTTTGAATGTCTGATAGCCAAATTTTCAAATGGAGAAATAGTATTCAGACTTCAGTATGGCAAAACCTCACCTGCACCATTTCTCCTCAAAAATGAACAAATGTACCATTTTCAGTTACAAAATAAAAATACAGAAGCTCTGTTTGATAATGAAGTGTATTTTACATGACTTACAATCTATATGACGTGCAAATTCTTGCATCCTTGCAGCGCCTTCAAATCTGAAATACTGATATCAATTTTTAGCTTACCTGGTCCAAAGGATCTGTGAGCTTTTGCCATGGCACAGCGTCCTCCGCCTGTCATCCAACTTTTCCTTTAAAACGCTACTTTTCCTGAATGGCTCAGTGGACTATGACTAAATTTGGTCCAGAGCATCCTTGAGCAATTATGTATAAACAGAGTGTTTGGCCCCCCTGGGGGCAGAATGGTGGGTCCCAATAGGGGAAATGTGGTTAAATCTTTAAAATCATTTTCCTTCAGTACAACTGGGTGGAATTTTCAACACAAGTTTGTGGAGAGAAATCTTGGGCAAAAGGAACTCGATTTGTATGAAGATAGAGTATGTGCCCCCCCCCCCCCCCCCCCCCCCCCCCCCNTGTACTAGCTTTGCTTTAATTCTATTCAAAACGTCGTATGTTTTAGTGTCATACAAGGCATTCTGACAGTAACATTAATTCTGTATTTCATAAATCAGATGGACCTGTAGTTACCACAAATATATGCACTGATCTGGCCCAGTGGAGGACAAAAAGCAAGAAGGAACCACCAAAGACTGCAAAGAACAACACCAAATCTCAACCAGCCAGAGTTAAGAAACCGCCAACTAAAGGGTAGGCAAATGCTTTATCAGTACATTAAACAATTTGGCTTCCAGCTCTTAATTCTTAAACAGAAACGCATTTGTATACGCCTGTCGAAAGACATTATGCGAGCAAGTGGCCATGGGTGGGCTTCATAGGAAGGTTGATAACCATTATCTGACTGTAATTTACCGGGTTTTGCCCCCAACATCAGTGGAGTGGGTGTAACCACAATTGTCTTACCATAATTAATACACTCATCCCCTTGGTTTCATTAATGCAATACCACATGCATTCAATGATGTTTTATTTTACTCATTGATCTATCGGGTATGTTGAATTATTTCTCCTTTAACATCAGTTACAAACACTAGATATTTCAGCAATACAAACAACTGCTCATTCATCGTGTGACAGGCGTAGTATGTACCACTTTGTGGTTACCTTGTAAACATAGATTTGACAGCTATTTGTCAAAATTAAAGAAATGTTTTGTGGTACAAAAGACTTAACTCAAGTGTGTGTGTCGTACATATTATCAGCTTTGTTGTTCACTATTTTTTGTTACAACTTTTGCAGTTTTTATTCTAGTCATACATACATTTATATATAGGACAGGACTAAATAGACCTAGTCTGATGATTGACCCCTCAAATTGTTTAAAATGGAAAGCAAATATTAAGTCACAGTAATAAACTACCAAAGTCCACCTTCTATTAAAATAAGGTTGTTTCATGCAAATGGTTTGAGTCTTACAAATAGTTGAAAGTAACTGCTAATTCGCCGAATTGTCTTGTTGTTTTTGTTTTTCTCCAATATCTGTATTATTGTCTGAAGACATACTATTTTATACCTTCTTGATAGATAAACTTGACATACATATGTGTACTTTTGGTTGTTGCAGGATTGCTCCTTCATATTTAGCTAGTATTGCTAATTTATAAATGTTTAACTAGTACTTCAGACAGTTCCACAAGTTTCTTTACATTTCAGACCTGACAGTGAAAAGTCTGTCCAAAACCCAGAGCAGAGGGGGAGATCAACTACACTGAAGCGATCAAGTTCTTTTAGGCGATCCGCAGAGACCACTAATCTCTCCAGTTCACTGGATGGAAAGTCACACACCAGTTTGAAAAGAACAAATTCCATGACGAGATCTACCAGTCAAAAACTTAATAATGTGTCAAGTTCATCTTCAGACACTGGTAAAAACATGAAACGTAATCATTCACGCGGGCTGTCAGCAGGGCGCGCCACCTCCTCAGACAGACAAACACGCCCGAGGTTGAACTCAAATAGCTCTGATACAAAGGAGGACAGTTCAGCTCCAGCTTCCAAGATGCCAAAGCTTACCATCCCCAACACACCAACCTTCATGAAGTAAGTGCAGATCTAATAAAAACACAATATGCCATTTTGTAATTTTAAGAACCCATTTTTAGCGTTTTTGTTAATGCTTTCTAGAAACAGGGGGAGACAATAAGGATAGCCTGCTAGTCTGAGACAAGTGAAATATCCAGGTTGGACTAGTGTTTCTAAAAACTGCTAGCCTGATTGACTAGTCAAAATTTGATATTACTTACAACCCTCCCCCCCAAAAACCCCCCATCCCAGGGTCATTTCTGAACGTAATGAATAATATTACACAAAAATTGTCATAAAGGGTTTGAAGAACTGACACTTACATCTTTTTCATGATTAGTAAAAGTGTTGTTAGCTGGACAGTGTTTATACTGAAAATGAGATTGACATTGTAACTGAACTAATCATAAGTGAAAGTGAAACATGGGTCAGTACAGGATATAAAGCAAAGATACATGTACAGTTGATAATATAGGTTGTGACAATGACCCAGTTAAATGTGATCAAGAACCCAGTGCATTCCTCTCAATCCAGGGTTACCTTCAGATATGTTGGAGAACATTCCCGTTACCCAAGCTGACTTGATTATTTAAACACTTGCATGTTGAACATTCAGTGACTAAGTCAGTGGTCCTTGGCTAACAGCATGTACTTATATAGAATTTGGGCTTATGCATTGTACAACAGTGTTCCATGAGTAAAAACTGTCAAAACAACAACACCTTTTCCCATTTAACATAGACAAATTTATGACTTTCCAAAGTTAAGGACAGGGTAGACTATACAAAGGTCGGGTAAGAGAATAACTTTGTTTCAGGGTTCCAAGGTCAAGGCCAAAGTCACCATAACTATTCCGGAAAATCATTGACCAATTCAGTGTCATCCATCTAGGATATTGTGTTTTGGGGGATTCATCAAACTTAATACAAAGGTCAATAGGGAAAAACTTCAGATCAATCTATGTTTGTGTTTTAAGGATGTACACCTCTGAGAAGTCAAAAATTTCCTGTATTAAACTTTTTTTCTTATATGGATTTTTGGAAAAAGGAGTTAATGGCATAGTAGAAAATGCAAAAAAAACTGTGTCGGTGTGTTCGTTTTTGTGCTATGATCGGTCAAAGATACCAATTTAACAAAACCCATGATTTTAGGTGAATTTTTGGGTTTGACCATTTGCAGAACAAATTCATATAATTTCTTCCAAGTGTGTTATCAGATATGTATGAATGTTTGTTGAATTGATGAAAATATTGTTTTCTTTTAAATTGTGGAAGGAAAATTTCCTAATCTTATTCTTTTAACTCAGAAAGCCGATTTTAGTTACCCCTACCCCCTATTTTTTAATGAAAAAATACTCATCAAGATTAAACCCTTGATATAAAAAGTTCTGGTAATAAACTTTTTTTAACATTAAATGAATTAAATAAAAATGTGTTTCTCTTTCTAAAACATCTACAAAAATGGGGGGTCAGTGTTTTTCTTTTTTTGTCCCATTATCATTTGTGTATTTTTTTTACCTTTTTCGGAGTCAAAAATCAAAAGTGCTTCAGTTACATTAAATACGTAAATTTTTTATAAATAATGTATAATTTTCCAGTTTTTTGCATACTAATTTTATCATATTGAACATTATAAAGTTGTACAGCAAAATTGACCCTGCTACAATTAAAAATGGCAACACAATGACAATTTAAGTGATCAATCTAGTGTCAAAAAGGTGAAATTTTGGCCTTTTTTGAAGCGCAAGAAATACACATTTTCAAAATGGCCGCCAAATTGGTAATTTTTTTAAATTCTTGTAAAATAAGTTCTACAAACAACAGGCATCTAGTTTTTTGTCATATTTCTCAGATGCGTGTTTGCTAATAAACCTATCATAATTTGTTAAATATTACAAAAATCCATTACACCAGATCAAAACGAGACTTGAATGTGATTGAAACCTCAGACGAGTACATCCTTAAGGTGCCAAGGTTTTTATAGAAGAGTGTCAAATTATAAAACAACATTTTCTTTTTTCCCTCTTTTACAAGTGTTATCATTAAATGTAATCATTGATAAAATCTATTTATCTTGTCTTTTAATTGAAGGAGGAAGCCTGGTCCAAAAACAAATGCAGAACAATACAAGAAAGCTGAAGAGAGAGAAATGGAAACAATTGCTATGATGAGAAAAGAGTTGGTTAAAAAACGTAAACTAGCCCAAGAGTCATACAAGAAAGCTATGACTGGCTCAGCCTGCCAACCTGTTCATGCTCATAAATTGCCAACGATGCCGCAGGGTTTCCAGTTCCAGACTGACAGTCGTATTAAGTCTCATGGGATGGAGACCCGCAGTGAGAGTAGAGAGAGGGACTTCGTGGAAACCCTTCGTTCCAGCACTGCAACTAAGACGTCTGTTAGTACTTGTTCCTGTCGTTTGTGTACTGGTATCTGAGAAACTTTTCAACAACATTGATAAGTAATAACGGAAGTCTCATTTTTTTTTTCAGATATCAATTATAAATGTGTAAAAAATATATTTTTATATCATAGTTCATGATTATAGTTATGGTCAAAGAGCTATGTGTTGTTTATAGTTGCTCACATTGTCACAGTATTGATTGATGGATTAATTGAAATTAATCTTAAGCCCAAACAGGTAGCAAACCAAAAGGGCCCAACCATCCCTAAACCATTCAAACTGACCGACTGTAAGAAGCATAAGATGGGCAGTATGGATGACCTGTCTAAGGCTGATACCTTCCAGAGTATGGCTGAAAAGGTGAAGGCCTTCCACAGGCAGACACCAGAACGCTTCAAATCCAGGGGTCGTATGTGCAGTGCCAACAAAGGTAGGACAAAATCTAGCTCCTGGGGTATTATTGGCAGTGCCGACAGAGGTAGGAAAAAATCTAGATCCTGGGGGATTATTGGCAGTGCCGACAGAAGTAGGATAAAATCTAGCTCCCGGGGTATTATTGGCAGTGCCGCCAGAGGTAGGATAAAATCTAGCTACTGGGGTATTATTGGCAGTGACGACAGAGGTAGGATAAAATCTACCTCCTGGGGTATTATTGGCAGGGCAGACAGAGGTAGGATAAAATCTAGCTCCTGGGGTATTATTGGCAGTGCCGACAGAGGTAGGATAGAATCTAGCTCCTGCGGTATTATTGGCAGTGCCTGTAGATGTATGACTAAAACTAATTGGCATTTTCAATTAAGACTTTGCAATAGAGCACCCCTTCAGACAACATTTTTGTCAGGAGACAAAAGCCTGTTTAAAAAAATAATTAGTGGAATATTCTCGGTTTCCTATATTTTTCCATGCATATGTTGTCCACTTAGTCTTGTGCAAAATATCAAAATATTCACCCTCCTTGTGAACTATAACAGTTTTTCATCAAATTAGCATAGGTATCCTCAATTTAGTTTTTTTATCCTCCCCAAAATACTTTCTGTTACTTTAGAAATGAAGAATTACGGTAATAAGTCAAAAGAATAAAAGTGCATTTTTGAATTACAGAAACCATATTTTGCTAATGCTCATAAACAGACACTGTAGACAGGTTTTAACTTACTTCTTTTGAATGACTGTATTATAGCAGGGCACAGGCTAACCAGCCATCCATTCGTCCTGACCAGGTGAAAATTGAAAAGGAAGAGTGGAAATTACAACCACACTAAGGACTTGTCCCGATGCATAGTGAAAAATAATATAAATCTACACTATTTCTATCACTTAAACATTGTGATGAATACTAAATGGATCTCTTTTACTAAGTTACTTTGGTTACACAGAGAGAGCATATTTCTACACTTCATAATGCTCTGTAACTAACTGATATGAATCATGGAACAGAAGTTGTGAAAATGTGTCTTTTTCGCAAAGGGTATCAACAATAATAATACGACATGTTTGATGGAGGTAATCAAACATGCATGTTGCTACTTTCGATACGTAGGAAGTTTATGCATGATAAATACAAGCGGGAGTTTTCAGAAAAAAATGAGGGCTACGATATGTCAGTTAGAATTTTTGAATAATTTATGCACGCTTGTTTTGTGTATGGGATGTCATCACAAGTTGTAATAATAATAATTTGAGGTTGTTGTATACCCCTTTATCACAACCTAGTTCATAGGTCGTCTCAAAGCGGTTCACAAATTATTATTCGTGGTTATAGGGCCTTTGCAACCAGCCATTACCTTTTTCAATTCCTGCGAGAGCATACAGCCGGAGCTGCCATTTCGGCGCTAACCGCTAGCATTCAACAATTCTAGCACTGCCTAAACCACATACTCATTTACAGCTGAGTAGACTGGAACAAGCGGAGTAAAGTATCTTGCTCAAAGATATAACACAGTGCCGTGCCGTGACTCGTAACATGCAACCCTTCGGTCACAAGCCCGGCATCCTACCACTAGACTAGCTACCGTGCCTCCATTCATAAGTTGTATTGATGGTAAATAAAGATTTATAGGAAATGCACAATCTGTAAATATAACTGAACAAAAAAGATAGCAAATAGAGCATGAAATAGGGCATGGCAAATTGACCATCATTTTATTAATAAATTTCTCATAAAAACATGACATGGTCGTTATAAAAAGCGACACAAGTAGTAAATTAAAATGCCTTCAAATCGCCCTGCATCTGTGGTCCGTGGTCCTTGGTCTGTCCTTAAACAATTCTTCATATCGCTATTTCTCAGGAAGTACCAGAGGGGTCTTTCTCAAATTTGATATGCAGGTTTTCCTTGCTCCCTCGTTGTGCAGGTTAAATTTTGAGACTGATCAGATAAATAAAAAGGCCGACAGGCAGCCATCTTGGTTTTTGACAGTGAAGGTTTGTTATGGCTATTACTCAGGAAGTACTGGCCATGGAGAGATCTCTTGTTCATAATCTCAGGTGCACAATAACATTTCCTGAGTGGAATTTTTCTTACACTAGGCACAGTGCCTAGTTGTTTAAAATATTAAACCTGAACCCTGAATTGGCACTGTAAAGTTTTCACCTTTGGACTAACCAATGCAGAAACCAGATTTTGTTTTTGTTTTTTGAGTGTGTCTATTTATAATTTTCTTTTGTGACAAAACAAACTACCAGTTTTTTAAGGGAATATATTTTTAATCAAATCCATTGAATTTGATTCCTTATCAGGTGAAGGTGTCCGAGGAAGATCAAGATCACCAAACAAGGTATTGACTGTTCCAAAAACTCCACAGTTTGAGACTCGAGGCAGAACCCGGTCTTATCACATACCAACTCACCAAGAAAGGGAGGAAGAGGAAGTTCAGGAAATGGTCAAGTACGTTTCAATGAATATAAGAGTCATTGAGGACCGTTTCAAAAACTATAACGGATAGGAGAGAAGGGGGAAGTGCTTCAAGCAAAAATGAGATCCCCTTTGGGATCATTGTGCAAACATTGAACCATCTTGAAAGGTTCTATGTATTATTTGCTCACCTGGAGGACAATAGTGAGCTTATATTATGCCGTGGCGCAGCGTCCGTCGTCAACTTTTTCTTTAAAACCTATCTCCTCCTTAACGCCAAAGAGGATTTCAACCAAATTTAGTCTGAAGCATCACTAGGGGAGGGCAATCATACTTAAATAAATGGGGTTGTTTCGACCCCTGAGGCCATGGGGGCGCGCTCTGAAGGGGAACTTAGCTAAATTTGCTTTAAAACGCATCTCCTCCTAAACGCCAGAGAGAATTTCAACCAAATTTAGTCTGAAGCATCAGTAGGGGGAGGGCAATCATTTCCTAAATAAATGAGACTGGTTCGACACCTGGGGCTAGAAAGACCGGGCCCCAAACAGGAAAATTATCTAATATTTTGCTTTGAGACGCTGATACTGCTAATTGCTTGAGTGGATTGTACAAAATTTGGTCAAAAGCATTATTGAGGAAGAACAAACATTTCTTAAATGAATCAGGTTGATTTGACCCATGCGGTCCTAAGAAATGGTACAGCCAGATTATATTCTATGGCGTAGTTTTCATAAATTGTTAAAAATTGGTTTCTAGGTTTATGAAAGCTTATAGTTGAATGAAAATTAAAGTATTGTCTAATTACACCCTGTAATATGACATATTACTTATTTCAAAATCTGTTAACATGACAACTCAATGGAGGGCCCTGATTAGTTGAAAGTCAGATATTGTGGTCCCAGTTGGGTTAGAACATAGATCGTATCTGGTTTTGAGGAAATTTCATAGAAAGATGTACTAATGCATTCAGTTGCAATGACTTAAATATAAAACCAGGTGAGCGATACAGGTCCAATGGACCTCTTGTTGAATTTTTCTCTTCTTTTATTTGTATGATTGCATTTTTGAGTCATGTTAAAGTAAATGCACCTTGTGCAATTTTTTTAACTTTTGATATTTTTGCAAATGCATTGGAGCATTCTCTTGTCTATATTTTAATATGGTTGAGTCTTTTGAACTGATTGCGGTTCTCTTAGCCTGTCCTGCTGAAGTCTTTAAGTAAACAAGCTTCGTCTGATTTTAATTTAGTTTTGTCAAATGATGACCTGGTATTCTGGCCCTAATTTCAATTACAATAGTTGTTGATAGGTCACCAAACTTAAACAAACCACGAATTGTGGTTTTGATAATATATTTAGGCCAATGAGTTTTATAAAAGAAAATTCTAAGGAATGATTTTGTCATTTAAAATAACAATTGATTCATTCTGTTGACTAGGAATCAATTCAAAGCTCATCCTGTGAATGAGAGGATTTTGACCAACCCTAACACCGGTGTGAGGAAGGTGCCATCCAAACCTATAACAACGCCAGAGGAGTTCCACCTTACTGCCCCAGACAGGCGGGCACAGGACAGTTCTACTGAGGAAGAGAAATTTGAGTTCCACGCCAAACCATTGCCTATAAAGATACTGGAAGGCCCAGTGGTAAGAGCGTACAAAAGATTTTACAATGATAAGTGGATTCAGTTTTGCTCTGTTAATTTTTATGAATTTATCATTGCATTATACAAATAAAATTAACGCCTTAGGTCAAACTTGGAATATCCCGCCCTTGACACATTGCATTCTGTTGGCAGTCTTAAGCTTATATAAATCGGAGTGTTTGACCAGATGTATCAAACCGCATTGAGTTAAATAACCATCATAACTTTGATGGGTTCAATTGGACAAGACTCTATATATATGTGAATCCTGTAAATTTCATTCTACTTAGCTTCATTAAATTTTAAATTACCTTGTTGAAATGTGTTATCCTGAATCTGGAGTTGCAGTGTGCTACATTCTGCCTCATTGTTCGACTGTGCAGTCTATCCATGCTGTAATGGATTTTTACTTACAGACATAAAGTTAATTATCCAAAGTCAGTTTTCTCTTGTCACTCCATGCCAGTTTCCCTCACACATGAGAACCTTTGTATGCTTCCATCCAAGCAAACTAGAGTTATTTATTTGTTCATACACACAGTATCTCGATGAGCACACCAACAAAGCATGTCTTGACTTAACCCACTTCTAGCTAGGATTCTGCAAAGCTAGCTGACTATCTGTATCTGTTATTTATGATAATGTTACACATTCAAAATTCATAAGTTTTCATGATTGTGTACAACAGGGAGTAAAACCAGCGAAACAAGTGGCCCCAACAGTTCCTAAATCACCTGCATTTGCTTTGAAGAATCGAGTACGGATGCCTGCTGAAATGGAGGATTTTAAGGTACCAACTCTTTGATTATAAAATCACATTTTATTTGTGTGTAAAAGAAAGAAAAAAATAGTTAACACTGTCAGACTTACTATTCACATGTTTCCTGGTTAAGATTTGTTGAATAGAACATGTTATTATTTAATTTCTGCAGATATAAAAGACAGTTTTGTACATCAGTCTACATTTATCAGTTCTAGATCTGCCACCAGATTTTTACAGACCTATGAATCTGTACTTATATTCTGTTCTGCAGTCATGTTTAAAGACAAAATCATATGTTTTGTGTGTGATCAGGTGTTCTATGTTGATTTTTCGTTTCAGAATGAATCCCAGGTGAAGGTCACGGCTAACCCAGTACCTCATGCTGGAGTGCCATTCCAGCCAAAGCTAGGTCACAAGTGCACTGTTCCAGAGCCTTTTACCTTTGAGGAAAGGGATCAAGATGTCAGGGCAAAGAAGGAAGAAAAAATCAAGGAAATTTTGGAAGAAGAGAAAAGAGTAAAAAAAATATTCTGATGTTTTCTTTTGTAACTTCAGTGAATATTTGTGCTATTATGACATTTGGGCAAATGCCTATCAAATTTTAAGCGTTGTAAATTCAGCGCAAAATTACTTTAATTTGAGGAATTTAGTACACGTAAAAATTGTCCAGATGAATTCACTCATTTCAAATATAATATTCTTCCAATTCAGGCTAGGGAATTCCAGGCTCAGAATTGTCCGAGCCCGACCTCCGACACACTGCCTCAAAAACAACCAAAACCAGCCACTCAGCCACAACCCTTCAACTTTGACATAGACAATCGAGGAGCCAAGCGAGCAGAGGAGTGGAGTCGTAAGGTACAAGTACATCACTTTGTCCTTGTGTTGATTGTTACACCACTTTGTCCTTGTGTTGATTGTTACACCACTCTGTCCTTGTGTTCATTGTGACATTACTTTGTCCTTGTGTTCATTGTGACATTACTTTGTCCTTGTGTTCATTGTGACATTACTTTGTCCTTGTGTTCATTGTTACACCACTTTGTCCTTGTGTTCATTGTGACATTACTTTGTCCTTGTGTTCATTGTGACATTACTTTGTCCTTGTGTTCATTGTGACATTACTTTGTCCTCCTGTTCATTGTGACATTACTTTGTCCTTGTGTATATTGTGACATTACTTTGTCCTTTTGGTTACTGTTATTTCTTTTTGTCCTTGTATTCATCTTTTTATACTTTAAGATTAAGTGACATGTATTTTAAAATTAGGTTTTAGTTACAGTAACGACTACAATATATGAATTTAAGGTTTACACATTTACATTGCTATTAAATGTTCTCCTCTCACCTTTACAAGTGTGTAAAAAAGGATAATGACATATTTTACAGATAGGGCTGATGATAACTGCTATACAATAATCATGGTTGTAAGGTTACTAGGCTTATGGTTTACAGATTGAGGAGGAGCTACGACAGCAGAGACAACAGGCCACGTTCAAGGCGACCAACAGTGATGTTCTCATTAAGAAGCCATTTGTACCAGCAAAGTCACTCAAACCACTAACAGGTGATCACAGAACTATATAGTCAAATGTACTTGATTAGAATGGAACTCTGCAACATTTTGCTGAACTAGTGTGTTGATTTTCTCCTGAACAATGACTGGTCACAATTTCTTAGAATAAAATTAAGCTAAGACTGAAGTGTTACCTGAACTTGGTCTTTGCTTTATACTTTTATTATTGCAAATTATATAAATAAATTTTTAAGAAAAAAAACCCCAATATTCCAAAACCTTGCTCCAACTTCATTTTTTACAGAAACTTAAAATTTCTTAGTCATTGTATGAACTTAAGACTTGCAAATTATGTTGCAATAAAGAATTATGGGGCTATATATAATCCATGTACAATGTATATCTCAGATTTGAAATAATTTCATTATTAACTGAACACAATTCACCATCCTCAACACATTTGGTCAGCTGACCATTTGCCTATGGAAATATGCTATTGAAAAGTGGAACAAGAAATTGATTACATTGTAATATACTCTACTTATTAGAAGTGCAATGAACAAAGAAGTCTTAGCAAGTATTATATAATTATATACATTGCAATGGAAGAATTGAAATGGTAATTGTCAATGCTATTGACATTGATTGTCAGACAGTGAAAGTGACTTATGTCAGGTGTGTGTCTGTCTATATTGACCATATCTCCAGTGTTGAGATATCTATTATTTTGTATGTTTTATCAGACGAGAATGTAGCCAAACATCAGTTTCTGTTTATCACTCGGGGTGCAATCTCGCGTCAAGTTTCTGATTCACATGTCATATCTTCTGTCTACATGAAAGTTAATTTCCTTGTTAATTCTGCTTTACAGATGTAAATGACTTTGAACTAAACACAGACAAGAGATCCAAATCACGGGAAGTGTATGAACAAAGGAGGAAAGCCCACGAGGCTGAGGCAGAAGCTTTGAAACGCCAAAGGGAAAAACATCAGGAGGAACAAGAAAAACTGGCCATTGCAAAACTAAGAGCAGAAATGGTACCCAAACCTCAACCAGTGAAACGATTTAAGACCGTGGAAGTTTTACCAAGTGAAAGACAACCCACAGTTCCAATGTCACCTAAATTCTCAACAGACAATCGCCTGCGTAGCAATGTTCGTGTGTGATCACCACAATGGTCCTCTTGTAAATTTGTATCAAAGTTTGTGTATATCAGTAAATTTTTATGAAGGAGCAATGATTATTGGAGTTCTGTGAAAGCCATTATGATTGGACTTGGCCTCATCAAATATGATTTCCTTTGAAATGAATGTGGTATAAATTTAAAAAGCAGTTGGAATTTTAATTATAAGTTAGACTCCTTCTAAACAGCTTTATAACAGTAAAGCTTGTTAGTATGAATTAATTTTTTTCAAGAAGGTTTGCTGTTAATGAAGATCTATTGTAAAGAGACAGAAAAAACTCATAGGTTTGCTTACGTAAAAACAAAATTAACAGGGGGGGGGAGGAGCTCCTATTTCAGGAAAAGATAAAAACTGTATGAGACCTGATTAAATTGTTTTTGTACCAACTTCTTTAACAACATCAGTTCTCAGAATACACATTTTCTTCTTTGCAACATCTGTATCTCGATTTTCCTGGTATAGTCGACAACAGCAATAAACAGCATTTACTTATCTTGAATATTTATTTATTACATATAATTTCCCGAGAATGAGTTTAGGACACAAGATAGACAGTAGCTTTGTTGCATGCACCCCTCCTTTATAGCATGTGAAATAGACAGGAAGTGTACCTGCGACAAGACTACTATTTTACCTGCTGTAAAGAAAGTTCTTTTATAGCACGGAAACCAGCATTACCTTTAAATAAAATCATTGTAATTTAGTTTTTAATGAAGAATTTAAGATAACCCAGTCTAAGACAATTCAAGCTAGTGATCATTTCGAGATACATGTAAATGTGAATTGATCATTTCGAGATACAGTACATATAAATGTGAATACATTTGAGCATTTCGAGATACAGTACATTAAAATGTGCACATATTTGATCTTTTCAAGATACAGTACATGTAAATGTGCACATATTTGATCATTTCGAGATATATCGGCATGTAAATTTGCATTGTTTTAATCATTTTTAGAAGCATATTAATGTGTGTCAGTTTCGTACGTTCGAGATAGAAATATTTTCTTTTATAGAAGATTATTAGGCTTGAAAATGTCTACTGCAGTTGCATTCATCCCGTTTCATTACATTGATAGCTGGTATAATGAAGCTGCCTGCTGTGAAAGTGGGCCACAGCGCTAGCTTTGTAACAGAACTACCTGTTTGTCTTTCCTTTATCTTGTGAAAAGACAAATCTGATTTTCGAAAAGTACCTTTCACAATAGTGTTAATAATTATCATAGTTATGGCATGCACTGTTATACTAGGATAACATAACCAGTGACATTATATACAAGGTATGACAGTTAAATTTGAATGAGATGAGTGTGAGTGAATGGAAGTTCGAGATATAAATGTAGTTGTAATATAGTGTTTACAATTTTGCACTGATTTGTATTAACACATAATCATGCCAGCACTTAGGAAATGTTATCATTATTTTAGATTTTGTATCTTATTTTTATGTATCTGATTTCCATATTTCCTTACTTCTACTCTGTTTCCTTGCTATTCTCGTGACTCATTTCTTCATATCGATGGCTATGTGTGACTTCTGTTGAATACAATCGGTACCAAACCAAATCATTAGCTCGACTTGTATAAAGTTTGTACAACATTTATTGTCTATATATAGGTATGAGTACATAACAATACTAAAAAAATAATTAATTCCTATCTCTAGCGTATGCTGCGAGATTGTTATTTTTTTCAGGGTTTGAAGTAAAATAGTTTGATGAAAACACAAACTTTTAAAAGTGATATATATATATGAAGTTTGGATTGTAAGATTAATTAACAACGTTATCAGTGGTAAATGCCAGGTCCCAGGAACATCAGAGTAACATCTATAAACAGAAATTAAAGTCTTTATAATATTAATGTGATATTTCTGTTAAATTTGGATTGAGAGATTGTCTCCCTTTATGTATGCTCCAAATCCATTATTATCACACAAAGTGTGATTTAACATCTTTTATAAGTTCATGATTTTATTCCTGGGATCATAATTAATTTTAAGGTTTTGACTATCTGAGAACAACAGATGATTGTCGTGGGTGTCAACTTTTAAAAAATGACAACAATATGTTATTGTGATAAATGAATGGAAATAAACATTTTACATCATACAATTCTATCTGAATCTTTATTTATACCTAAAATCTTAACAATGATCGTCCAAACCAAATATTGTAAATGTACTTATATAAGTAGTGTTTTTAATTGAGCATCTTTGCCTCCATCTCTGATGTACTGATTTAAGTACAGCACTAAGGCCAAAATTTTTTATTACTTTGTTCTCAGGCCAATTTTTTTCAAAAGAGATGCGACAGGGAGGTATTTTTTATTTAGGTCACCTAGGACAAAGTCTCAAGTGACCTATTGCAATCGCCTTTTGTCCGTCGTCGTCCGTCGTGCGTCCGTAAACAATTAACATTTTCAACTTCTTCTCCAAAACCCCTGAACCAATTAAAATGAAATTTTGCAGAAACCTTCCATGGCCAAAGGTCAACAAAAATAGTTGCCGGTTTGGTCCCCGGCCCCCAGGGGCCTGAGGGGCGGGGCCAAATAGGGTCAAATTGACTATAATTTCAAAAATATTTTTCTCAAGACCCAGATATGGTAGAATCAAACCCTCTTCATAGATGGAAGGGTCTTAAGGTGCTCTACCAAAATTGTGAATTTTTTGACCCTGGGGTCTCACGTTTCCCCCTGGGGAGGGGTCAACTTTACAATAGTTTATATAGGGAAATCGCATTTTGGACTAACATTTGTTTAATTTCCTTTGCAATTAATTCAATTTGGGTTATCATTATCAGTATTGGGTAGCAGTTTGATAGTATGCACATATGAGCCCTGACTGACCCCCCGGGGCTGATGGGAGGGGCCAAAAAGGGTTGAATTGACTGAAATTTCAAAAATCTTCTTCTCAAGACCCAGATATGGTAGAATCAAACACTCTTCATAGATGGAAGGGTCTTAAGGTGCTCTACCAAAATTGTGAATTTTATGACCCTGGAGTCTCACGTTTACCCCTGGGGAGGGGGTAAACTTTACTATAGTTTATATAGGGAAATCACATTTTGGACCAACATTTGTTTAATTTCCTTTGCAATTAATTCAATTTGGGTTATCATTATCAGTATTGGGTAGCAGTTTGATGGTATGCACATATGAGCCCTGACTGACCCCCCGGGGCTGATGGGAGGGGCCAAAAAGGGTTGAATTGACTGAAATTTCAAAAATCTTCTTCTCAAGACCCAGATATGGTAGAATCAAACACTCTTCATAGATGGAAGGGTCTTAAGGTGCTCTACCAAAATTGTGAATTTTATGACCCTGGAGTCTCACGTTTACCCCTGGGGAGGGGGTAAACTTTACTATAGTTTATATAGGGAAATCACATTTTGGACCAACATTTGTTTAATTTCCTTTGCAATTAATTCAATTTGGGTTATCATTATCAGTATTGGGTAGCAGTTTGATGGTATGCACATATGAGCCCTGACTGACCCCCCGGGGCTGATGGGAGGGGCCAAAAAGGGTTGAATTGACTGAAATTTCAAAAAAAAATCTTCTCAAAGACCCAGATATGGTAGAATCAAACACTCTTCATAGCATAGATGGAAGGGTCTTAAGGTTTATGACCCTAGTGTCTCACGTTTACCCCCTGGGAAGGAGAGGAGGGGGGGGGGCAAAATTTATTATGTTTTATAATGGCAAATGATACTTTGAATATAACATTTTAATAACTTAATTGGAATTCTAACCCTGAGTTGACAGTTTGATACTTTGAAAATTTTGAGCCAGCCCTACCCCGAAGGGCTGTAGTGTGGAGCCCAAAGGAGTCGGTGTGCTAAAATTTCTTCATTTGTCTTGTTTAGAATCAGAGGTGCTAGTTTCAAATACTTTTTAGTCTTAAATCTGTATGCTAGATATTGAATAAGGTGGTTTTATTGTTTTTTGTCACTGAATAATATTTGTACATGAGACTAATAACTTTTTTTATAAGTCATAATAGTTTTAATGCTTGCCTGTATATCAATTTCTTTATCTTTATTCAAACGTTTTCGGGACTTGGGAATTTTCCGGATTATTTTTGATGACGGTGGCTGGCGCATTCACGTTGTTTTTTTTATTACTTTCACGATAAAATCGGCAATGTGTTGCCCTAAAATACGTCATAGCAAAATTGAAGGCAGACTAGGCTGATACATGTCCTTTGAAGATTACAAAGGAGCGACACCCAACTTCAAAACCAGTCAATTTTTACCATTACGCGACCGCGAGATTCTTTTGATGTATATCGAAGGATCAAACTAGTCTGCTTGTCACTTCAACAAGGAAGCACACACTGAGCCTTCAGTTTTCCTATGACATATTCCAGGGTGCCAAGATCAAAAGTGAGAGTTACCCCTGGAGTATCGAGGATGTGGTTTAGGGTTCTAGTGATATATCTCAATCCATGACATTCTTATTTCCTGTAAAATATCCCAATGGCAGACTAGTAGATTTAAACACACAAGTTGAAGAAAATCATTAACTTTTAAAAAGATTTATTGCAAACTTACATTTAGTGCACATTTTCACATTCAAACGCATGCATGTCTCCAAACTAATATTTCATCTGATATTTACTACAGACCAGAAAGAACATGGATTCCATCGGTCAATCAGTCTGCTATGATTTTCTATTTGTTCTATTGATCCATAAAGGATGATCCTTGCTTCTTGATCATTACCAGTTTTAATATTTTATCCAGCTACAAAATATGAGCAATAGATATGAAAACTACTGGAACTGGAATTCATCAAAAAACAAACAATGGTCTATTTCTAACAGGGCACAATGTTACTCAGACTATTGCCATTAAAATAGTACTACTGAATAGACAGAACTGCCAGCAGTATGTTGAACAAAGTTTCATAACTGTTACTCTGCTATTTATAATTGAAACAGTATAAAGGTGTTGGGGGTCTCAAAAAATGTTTAATAATGTATGAATAGTGGGCCCAGGAATAATATAAAACAAGGTTATATTCAAACTAAAGAATATCAACTTAACCTTTCGGTTTCTTTTCTTTCATCAGATTTTTCTTGTAAAAATGTTTTATTGCATGTAAATTACTATTTCAAAAACTCATTACATAGTGTAATGCTTATTAACAATGGGAATCTGTCTTGAATTCAGCACCTCCCAAACATTAGTTCTTCACCACAGTACATTTGGAGGTACAAATGTATATAAAAACAGATTTAGACAAAACACCAGTTTTTTCACATGTGTGACTTGGTCTAAATAGAAAAAAGTCCACTTATGGCAATATGACTTGTAGCTAGGTGATAACAGAAATTTGATGCAGCAAGTCAGCCCTTTTATCAGCCCCTTAACCAGTCATATCAATGAAACAACGTCTGATCCACCCGAGCACCAAATAAGTGTCGCCATGACAATGGAATCTTCCATCCTGGCAGTGGTTTAATGATTTGTCCATCTTCTCTTTTCTTTGGCTGAAATATAACAAATGATTACTCTATTACTCAAAAGTTTAAATGAGATTTTTCAACACTGGATAAGTATCGACATATATAGTCTCAGTCTAAGAAATAATGCGCTATAGCCAAAATTCATTGTACAATTTTTAAGTTTATGAGATTATTTTTTGCCCAGGGAATAATATGAAAAACAAGAATGTTCAATAAGTGTATTTACATTCTGTTTAACTGTATGTAACAGGTAGGTGGTAGCTATAGACAGGCGATAGTTTTAGATGGGAGGTAGCTATAGACGGGTGAAAACTAGAACTGTAAGCCAAAGGCTAACTTATACCCCCGCTGCTATATACACCAGAACTGTAAGTTAAAGGCTTACTAAGGCAAAGCATTGCAAAGCAATCCATAGTCTCCCATCAGTAACAAGTATTCCACACAAAGGGGCATACCTCCATCAAAAAAGGTTGAAATCTCAAATTAAAATGCTGGTGCACAACTACATAAGATACCGATCATTTATGCAAAGTTTCAATGAAATCCACCTGTTAGTAAAGAAGGAGTGGAACAGACAGGTTTTTCACACAAAGGGGCACAACTCCATCAAAAAGGGTCGTAATCCCAAATTAAATTGCCGGTGCACAACTACTGATCATTCATGCAAAGTTTTCATGAAATCCATTTGTTAATTTTAATTAAGGAGGAGTTTTCCGGACAAGTATTTGGCAAAGGGGGCATAACTCCATCAAAAAGGGTCGAAATCCCAAATTAAATTGCCGGTGCACAACTACTGATCATTCATGCAAAGTTTAAACGAAATCCACCTGTTAATTAAGGAGGAGTTTTCCGGACAAGTTACTGCGGGCGACAGACAGACAGACAGACAGACAGACAGACAGGTTAATTCTAGTAGAACCCCCTAACTTCGTTGCGGGGGTATAACTACAGATATGTCTGGTAGGTAGCTATACACAGGTGATAGTTTTAGATTGGAGGTAGCAGTAGACAAGTGATAGTTTTAGATGGGAGGCAAGTGGTATTTTTAGATGGGAGGTAGCTGTAGACAGTTGGTATTTTTAGATGGGAGGCAGCTATAGATAGGTGGTAGTTTTAAACGGGAGGTAGCTATAGACTGATGATATTTTTAGATGGGAGGTAGCTATAGACAGGTGGTATTTTTAGATGGGAGGCAGGTGGTATTTTTAGATGGGAGGTAGCTGTAGACAGTTGGTATTTTCAGATGGGAGGCAGCTATAGATAGGTGGTAGTATTAAACGGGAGGTAGCTATAGACTGATGATATTTTTAGATGGGAGGTAGCTATAGACAGGTGGTAATTTTAGATGGGAGGCAGCTGTAGACAGATAGTAGTTTTAAATGGGAGGTAGCTATAGACAGGGGGTATTTTCAGAAGGGAGGCAGCTGTAGACAGGTGGTAGTTTTAAATGGCAGGTAGCTATAGACAGATGGTAGTTTTAAATGGGAGGCAGCTGTAGACAGGTGGTAGTTTTAGATGGGAGGTAGCTGTAAACAGGTGGTAGTTTTAAACGGGGGGGTAGCTATAGATAGGTGGTAGTTTTAGATGGGAGGCAGCTGTAGACAGGTGGAATTTTTAGATGGGGGGCAGCTTTAGATAGGTGGTAGTTTTAAACGGGAGGTAGCTATAGTCTGATGATATTTTTAGATGGGAGGTAGCTGTTTACAGATGGGAGGCAGCTGTAGACAGGTGGAATTTTTAGATGGGGGGCAGCTTTAGATAGGTGGTAGTTTTAAACGGGAGGTAGCTATAGTCTGATGATATTTTTAGATGGGAGGTAGCTGTAGACAGGTGGTAGTTTTAGATGGTTGGCAGCTGTAGACAGGTGGTATTTTTAGATGGGAGGTAGCTATAGACAGATGGGAGGCAGCTGTAGACAGGTGGTATTTTTAGATGGGAGGCAGCTTTAGATAGGTGGTAGTTTTAAACGGGAGGTAGCTATAGACAGGGGGTATTTTCAGAAGGGAGAGGCAGCTGTAGACAGGTGGTAGTTTTAAATGGCAGGTAGCTATAGACAGATGGTAGTTTTAAATGGGAGGCAGCTGTAGACAGGTGGTAGTTTTAGATGGGAGGCAGCTGTAGACAGGTGGTATTTTTAGATGGGAGGCAGCTTTAGATGGGTGGTAGTTTTAAACGGGAGGTAGCTATAGACAGGGGGTATTTTCAGAAGGGAGAGGCAGCTGTAGACAGGTGGTAGTTTTAAATGGCAGGTAGCTATAGACAGATGGTAGTTTTAAATGGGAGGCAGCTGTAGACAGGTGGTAGTTTTAGATGGGAGGCAGCTGTAGACAGGTGGGAGGCAGCTGTAGACAGATGGGAGGTAGCTGTAGACAGATGGGAGGCAGTTGTAGACACATGGGAGGCAGCTGTAGACAGGTGGTAGTTTTAGATGGTTGGCAGCTGTAGACAGGTGGGATTTTTAGATGGGAGGAAGCTGTAGACAGATGGGAGGTAGCTGTAGACAGATGGTAGCTATAGACTGATGATATTTTTAGATGGGAGGTAGCTATAGACAGGTGGTATTTTTAGATGGGAGGCAGGTGGTATTTTTAGATGGGAGGTAGCTGTAGACAGATGGGAGGCAGCTTTAGACAGGTGGTATTTTAAGATGGGAGGTAGCTGGAGACAGATGGGAGGCAGCTGTAGACAGATGGGATGCTGTTGTAGACATATTGGAGTCAGCTAAAGACAGATAGGAGGTAGCTGTAGACAGATGGGAGGCAGCTGTAGACGGATGGGAGGCAGCTGAAGACAGGTGGTATTTTTAGGAGGGAGGAAGCTGTAGACAGATGGGAGGCAGCTGTAGACAGATGGGATGCTGTTGTAGACATATTGGAGTCAGCTGTAGACAGATAGGAGGTAGCTGTAGACAGATGGGAGGCAGCTGTAGACAGATGGGAGGTAGCTGTAGACAGATGGGAGGCAGCTGTGACAGATGGGAGGTAGCTGTAGACAGGTGGTAGTTTTAAATAGGACTTAGCTATAGACAGGTGGTAGTTTTAAACGGGAGGTAGCTATAGACTGATGATATTTTTAGATGGGAGGTAGCTATAGACAGGTGGTAATTTTAGATGGGAGGCAGCTGTAGACAGATGGTAGTTTTAAATGGGAGGCAGCTGTAGACAGGTGGTAGTTTTAGGAGGGAGGTAGCTGTAAACAGGTGGTAGTTTTAAACGGGAGGTAGCTATAGATAGGTGGTAGTTTTAGATGGGAGGCAGCTGTAGACAGGTGGTATTTTTATATGGGAAGCAACTGAAGACAGGTGGTATTTTCAAATTGGAGGTAGCTGTAGACAGGTGGTAGTTTTAGATGGGAGGTAGCTGTAGACAGGTGGTAGTTTTAGATGGTTGGCAGCTGTAGACAGGTGGTATTTTTAGATGGGAGGAAGCTGTAGACAGATGGGATGCTGTTGTAGACCTATGGGAGTAAGCTGTAGACAGATGGGAGGTAGCTGTAGACAGGTGGTAGTTTTAGATGGGAGGCAGCTGTAGACTGGTGGTATTTTTATATGGGAAGCAACTGAAGACAGGTGGTATTTTCAAATGGGAGGTAGCTGTAGACAGGTGGTAGTTTTAGATGGGAGGCAGCTATAGATAGGTGGTAGTTTTAGATGGGAGGCAGCTGTAGACAGATGGGAGGCAGCTGTAGACGGATGGGAGGCAGCTGAAGACAGGTGGTATTTTTAGATGGGAGGCAGCTGTAGACAGGTGATATTTTTAGATGGGAGGCAGCTGAAGACAGGGGGTATTTTTAGATGGGAGGAAGCTGTAGACAGATGGATGCTGTTGTAGACATATGGGAGTCAGCTGTAGCCAGATGGGAGGTAGCTGTAGACAGATGGGAGGCAGCTGTAGACAGATGGGATGCTGTTGTAGACATATGGGAGTCAGCTGTAGACAGATGGGAGGCAGCTGTAGACAGATGGGATGCTGTTGTAGACATATGGGAGTCAGCTGTAGCCAGATGGGAGGTAGCTGTAGACAGATGGGAGGCAGCTGTAGACAGGTGATAGTTTTAGATGGGAGGCAGCTGTAGACAGGTGGGATTTTTATATGGGAAGCAACTGTAGACAGGTGGTATTTTTAAATTGGAGGTAGCTGTAGACAGGTGGTAGTTTTAGATGGGAGGTAGCTGTAAACAGGTGGTAGTTTTAAACGGGAGGTAGCTATAGATAGGTGGTAGTTTTAGATGGGAGGCAGCTGTAGACTGGTGGTATTTTTATATGGGAAGCAACTGAAGACAGGTGGTATTTTCAAATGGGAGGTAGCTGTAGACAGGTGGTAGTTTTAGATGGGAGGCAGCTGTAGACAGATGGGAGGTAGCTGTAGACAGATGGGAGGCAGCTGTAGACAGGTGATATTTTTAGATGGGAGGCAGCTGAAGACAGGTGGTATTTTTAGATGGGAGGAAGCTGTAGACAGATGGGATGCTGTTGTAGACATATGGGAGTCAGCTGTAGACAGATGGGAGGTAGCTGTAGACAGATGGGAGGCAGCTGTAGACAGATGGGAGGCAGCTGTAGACAGATGGGAGGTAGCTGTAGACAGATGGGAGGCAGCTGTAGACAGATGGGAGGTAGCTGTAGACAGGTGGTAGTTTTAAATAGGACTCAGCTATAGACAGGTGGTAGTTTTAAACGGGAGGTAGCTATAGACAGGTGGTATGTTTAGATGGGAGGCATCTGTAGACAGGTGGTATTTTTAGACAGGAAGCAGCTGTAGACTGCCTTTATTTATAGACAGACATGTAATAGATGTTTTCCTTGAGTAATGATTGTCAATCTCGATACAGTTTTCTCCTTGTGAGTACTAACCTTCATGTCCACCAGGTCGAGCCACTGATTTAGACGAGAAGCCAGGAATATAGCGTCCTGGGAATTGTCTCCTTCTGAACAGAACATCAGCAGAACTACGACTGGCATATCTTTCCCACTGTAACAGACAGGTATAAAAAATACTTACTTGTAGTCAAGTGTTTTTATACACACATTTTTTCTTTATACACACATCAATGATGAAGGTCATTCAAGGTTGATTCTTTCAATCTGATTGACTGATGGTCTCCATCTTACTTGCAAAAAATGTTCACTTATTTTTTTTAGAAAACTCATAAAGTTGTTATATTTGTTTTAAGTTGCTATAATTGGTAAGAGGTACACACTAATAACTTTTGGGTCATTCTATCAGAAGTCCTTGTTTGGGTCATTCTATCAGAAGTCCTTGTTTGGGTCATTCTATCAGAAGTCCTTGTTTGGGTCATTCTATCAGAAGTCCTTGTCATTCCAAGTTAATTCCTACGCAAAATATCTTATGAGATGTGCACACATTCAACAATTGTGGGCATATGAGTGTACCGTTCACAGTAATCTTGTTAAGTAAGAGAGGCCTAATGTATTAACTCTGGCTTACCATTCCTCCAGTAACCACTGGCCCTGCCCCTCTTCATCTAGTTAGATAATTTTGTATTAACTCTGGCTTACCATTCCTCCAGTAATGACTTGGCTATGCCCCTCTTCATCTAGTTAGATAATTTTGCATTAACTCTGGCTTACCATTCCTTCAGTAATGACTTGGCTATGCCCCTTTTCATCTAGTTAGATAATTTTGTATTAACTCTGGCTAACCATTCCTGCAGTAATGACTTGGCTATGCCCTTCTTCATCTAGTTAGATAATTTTGTATTAACTCTGGCTTACCATTCCTCCAGTAATGACTTGGCTATGCCCCTCTTCATCTAGTTAGATAATTTTGTATTAACTCTGGCTTACCATTCCTCCAGTAGAGACTTGGCTATGCCCCTCTTCATCTTGTTAGATAATTTTGTAAAACTCTGGCTTACCATTCCTCCAGTAATGACTTGGCTATGCCCCCTCCTGGTACGTAGATATAATTAGGTTTTTCAGATCCATTCTGAAGCTCTTCTGGAGTGTTTCTACGTTCTAGATCCAACCAATTCAGCGGAGCACTCCGTAACATCTGGCAAGTCTTGGTCTCCTCCATACATTGGGAAGCAAGGAAACGAAGCTGATCTCTTTAAACAGATTCAGTAAGTTATCAATTTAGAAGAAAAATTAACGTTTATCATCTAAAGCTACTACAAAGTAATTATGACAAATAACTGAGACTATTTTATATAAAAGATATTCATAACAATTTTTTATGTTGTCCTTTCACCATCATACAATACATGTTTGTTCCCTATACATATTGAGCATTGAGTATACATGGGTCAAAGTCGTTCATTTAAACAAACCGTGTAGCCCTAACTCAAGCATGCTACAGACAAAATATGAACATTGTATACGGAAGAAACAGTTGGTAAAGACAATTGTTTTGCTCTCTGAAATGTACACTCAGCATGTGATTCCTATTATTGATGGGGAAGTTTAATATAAATTGACTGTTAAGATAAAACCTACCCCTGAAGCTGTATGTTTTCTGTTAAGATAAAACCTACCCATGAAGCTGTTAGATTACTGCTAAAATAAAACTTACCCCTGAAGCTGTATGTCTACTACTAAGATAAACATACCCCTGAAGCTGTATGTTTATTGTTAAGATCAAACTTTCCCCTGAAGCTGTAAGTTTACTGTAAAGATAAAACTTATCCCTGAAGCTGTATGTTTATTGTTAGATCAAACTTTCCCCTGAAGCTGTAAGTTTACTGTAAAGATAAAACTTATCCCTGAAGCTGTATGTTTATTGTTAGATCAAACTTTCCCCTGAAGCTGTAAGTTTACTGTAAAGATAAAACCTGTCCCTGAAGCTGTATGTTTACTGTAAAGATAAAACTTACCCCTGAAGCTGTATGTTAACTGTAAAGATAAAACCTACCCCTGAAGCTGTATGTCTATTGTTAAGATAAAACTTACCCATGAAGCTGTTAGTTTACTGTTACGATAAAACCTACCCCTGAAGCTGTATATCTACTTTTAAGATAAAACCTACCCATGAAGCTGTCAGTTTACAGTAAAGATAAAACCTACCCCTGAAGCTGTATATTTGTTGTTAAGATAAAACTTACCCCTGAAGCTGTATGTCTACTGTTAAGATAAAACCTGTCCCTGAAGCTGTATGTTTTCTGTTAAGATAAAACTTACCCATGAAGCTGTTAGTTTACTGTTAAGATAAAACCTACCCCTGAAGCTGTATGTCTACTGTTAAGATAAAACCTACCCCTGAAGCTGTATGTTTTCTGTTAAGATAAAACTTACCAATGCAGGTGTTAGTTTACTGTTAAGATAAAACCTACCCCTGAAGCTGTATGTCTACTGTTAAGATAAAACCTACCCCTGAAGCTGTATGTTTTCTGTTAAGATAAAACTTTCCCCTTAAGCTGTATGTTTACTGTTAAGATAAAACCTACCCCTGAAGCTGTATGTTTTCTGTTGAGATAAAACTTACCCCTGAAGCTGTATGTTTTCTGTTAAGATAAAACTTACCCATGCAGGTGTTAGTTTACTGTTAAGATAAAACCTACCCCTGAAGCTGTATGTTTACTGTTAAGATAAAACTTACCCCTGAAGCTGTATATTTACTGTTAAGATAAAACTTACCCCTGAATCTGTATGTCCAGTCGTTCCTCACTGCGACTGCTTGTCAGGATAACTAGTTTTTTGAAGGACTTATTAATTATCCATTCCTTCAACCACTTTCTAAACAGAGCCATTTTCCCCTGTGTAATAAATAGAAAATCATATTACACCTTTTAAAGTGCATATAGGCCCTATGTATAATAATTTATTTAACATTTCATTTTTTCCGGAGAGTTAAGGATTTTAAAATTCTCAAATAAACAAGCATTTGTTCTGAAACTGTTAGCTAATGATGTAGTTTTGAAAAGTACAGAATTGGAAAAATGTTTGTATAATACACTGTATTAAGTGCGTCTTAATAGAACATAAGCTATATTGCATGTTAATTACTAATTTCGGAAGAAATAAAACAATATACTCTTGGCAGTAATGTTGAATAGAATTATCTTTTTCAACTGGTCCATCAGGCAAATAGACACTAACTTTTGCTTCCCGACAAACCAAATTTATTGACCCCAGCCTTTTAACTGGGATATTTGCTTGTTCTGATGTTGAACATGTATATTTACAGCATGACAATAAAAAGTTATTGTTTCATAAATTTAATCTCCCTCAATAAATTTGTAACAAGATGGTCACTACTGTGGCAAGTAACAGTTAAAAAATCATTTATTCAGAAGTATATGTGTACAGACCTTTGGCCTTTAACAATGACCTTGACCTTTATTATGTGCAAAAGTACATGACAGTAATATTATCATGTCAAGTGATGCCACAAATTATCTAATGTAACAAGTTCTAACAATATCAATTTTGTTGTCAGAATTAGGCCAAACAGACACGTGGTACTGTTGTGGCATTGTGCTGTCACAATGAAGACATTTGACATGTTTAAGCAAACATTCACATACACTAATCTTAATGGGATCAAAAAAATCTTAGACTATGCTTCCATTTCATATAAGATTCATGAAGCTTGTCCTGAAGTTTTCTTTTCAGAAAAAAAACAACTAGATTTGTTTTCATTCAATATCATCTGAGAGGAAAATCACTTAAGATCCTTTATATACAGTTGTATATATAACCCAAAATAGTTCCATGCATAGACAAAAAAAAAGCAAATCGGTACCAGTACTTATAATACCATACCCGGACAAATGGAGCCCTCTGTTGTATCACCACCACTTTGTGTTCAATACTCTCATACACTGAAAAACAAAAACAGGGCAAACTTTGATATAACCCATCAATCATCAGCTGGCAACACAAATATAATACCTTGTTCTGTCTGTTAACTGTATGTTCGCTAAATTACTAGGGGCATGGACTATGACAAATTTATGTTACAAGGAGCATGGACTAGGAAATATTTATGTTACAAGGAGCATGGACTAGGAAAAAAATATGTTACGAGAAGCATGGACTAGGAAATATTTATGTTACAAGGAGCATGGACTAGGACAAATTTATGTTACAAGGAGCATGGACTAGGAAAAAATGATGTTACAAGGAGCATGGACTAGTAAATATTTATGTTACAAGGAGCATGGACTAGGAAATATTTATGTTACAAGGAGCATGGACTAGGACAAATTTATGTTACAAGGAGCACATGGACTAGGACAAATTTATGTTACAAGGAGCATGGACTAGTAAATATTTATGTTACAAGGAGCCTGGACTAGCAAGAATTTATGTTACAAGAAGCATGGACTAGGACAAATTTATGTTACAAGGAGCCTGGACTAGCAAGAATTTATGTTACAAGAAGCATGGACTAGGAAATATTTATGTTACAAGAAGCATGGACAAGTAAGTACCAGATAGTTGTTACTAGCGTTTAATTATATCAAAAGTAGATTTGAAAGATTGCTGGAAGATTTTTTTTCTAATCCAGTGAATTATGGATGGAATTATAAACACTATTGTTCGCAATTAGAAGATAATTCTATTATTGATCACTATACAATTTAATCCATAAACATCCATAAACTGGTTTATTTGGATAACCAATCTTCCGGCTAATATTATAAATAACATAAAATAAATCTTATGATATAAAAGTCTCTGAGCTTACTGGTATTTTTGACAGAAAACATGATAAATGGAGGTATCTAATTGAAATCAACCAACCATCACAGCTTGTTACAAGTTTGCAGTCATTGAAGTCTTCGTGGGCGAATGGATCATTGCCGACCAGAGGGAGGATGCTTTCGTGGTGGATGTGACCAACCCTTTCCATCCATAGTGTGGAGATGAGTAGATCTACTGCTAGCTGTCCAACATTACCCACAGACACTGCTGGCTGCAAAACACAGAATAAAACTTTTCTTTCTTTCTTATTTAATTTCTTATTTACCGATCCAAATCAATTTGGTTTCAAAATTAAAATTCAAACATTTACAATTGCACCACAGTACATTTCTTTTAATGTCATGCCACAGACAAAATGATAGCAAACATGACATTAAAAGCAGTATGGTTTTCCTATGAATATACAGTTAGTCAGTATAAACAGCACACGTAACATAGGGAAAGTACATACCAATGATCCTAACCAAGTTAGCTAAGTTAAGACAACTCTTCAACTATTGTCTCACACCAACTCAAGGGCTTGGTGAAAATATATAGTTACCATTGTTTTCACAGGTTAACCCTTTCACCCCTATGTAACTTTAGTAGACTCTACCATGCATTGAAATAGAGGGGTCCATTATGGTCTACAGTGGTGAAAGGGTTAAAGCCTGAATTTGTAAATTTTAAATGTCAAGAAAACAGAACCTGATGTAATGAGGAGTTCACGCTGAATCACATGATAAACAAGAGACCAAGGTCTCACATGATTGTAACTTACATTGAATTCAATGATATGATGCATGCATATCAAGAAAGCAAAATAAGTATTGTACAAGCTAAGCAGTCTTAACTCATTCACCTCTGAATACACATTTGAACTACAATTCAAAGGTTAGAATAGTTCATTACAAAATGTCAGGGGTGAATGAGTTAATTTTAACAAATTCTTATAAAATTTGGCCTACATTAGGCTTCATATCATGTGCTGACTATGAATATTATCATAATATTTCTATAGCTACTATAAGGCCCCCTATCTCTCTTATAAGTCTGCACAGTCTGCCCACCTAGCCCACTTGAGCCAATGCAAGTAAGCTTTAAAAATCATTCTCTATACCAAATTGATTAAAATCCCTTCATTTTTAGTTATAGAGTTTTCTTTCAAAATTTTCAACATGTACTCCTGTCATGTAACCAATTTGCAGTACACTATTAATTGAGTGATATCATTTGTTAAAAATCCTTCAAGAATCACCATACTTAAGCTTTACCACCATATCCCACATTGAACCTCTCTCCCCTCTGCCCTAAAGGTGGAAAAGGGATCATAAAACACTTCATTTACAAACTGAGTTCCCTTTACACGGTACCCTCTATAGCAAATCAGGTCACATACCTTAGAAGTAGTCTTTTAAAGATTCCCCTTGTTACTTCTATTTGACTCACTCCTCTGCTGCTAAAATACCTTCATATACTTAGCTTTGAGTTTTCTTGATTTTGTTTTTATACCAAATCAAGTTATAATCCCTTCGTCTTTACTGAAGACGTAGTCATTTTAAAGTTTCAACACCTAATATCCCCTAATGGGCCTTGTCCTTGTACCACATGCTAGCGTTCTACAAAATTGAGTCTCCTTGGTCGAGAGATCCTTAATTCAAACCAGATCACAAAAAGTCTTTTCTTTCCCAAAGATTTACTAGTCCCACAACTCAAATCCGAGTAACATACATTATGTTTGTACAAAGGAATAAGGTAACAGGCAAAACTTATGAATGCCTTCTCCTGACAATAGCCATTCCATTACACATAAGCTGGTCGCCAGCATAGACAAATTGACCATCTGTTATAACCGTTTACCATTGCAACACATCAATTTTATGTAACATCATGTAATACATGATAGGCCTAATGACTAAGTTTATTTCTTTATTATTTATTTTAGATTTGAGCTCCATTATTTAAAAGATTATTACTTTTTTACAATATCATAATTATAGCTCTGGTTCTATTTATGACTTCATTGTCTCTTTTTAATTCACACTATATTAGTGTATATCCTGTACATTTTTACACTTTGCTACATTAGCATATATGTTTATTACATTACACTATGATAGTATAGTGTCTTAACTTGTCTTTCGTAACACGTGTGAATTCCAAGTGTGATATCATATGCTCTACTGTATAATTTTAGCATATCTAATTTGAATTGTTGTCCTGTTTTTATATTTATTCATAAGTACTGTGATCCTTGTTAAATTTTATATATGTTTTGTCGCAAGAATAGCACTACAGTGCTGATGTTATTATGTTACATGTATATGCGACGTTAAATAAAGCAGCAAATCATTTGTAAACAATAGACAATATTACCATAATCAGGGTGTAGTCTTGCCATTCTCTTAATTTCCTTTTTGGATCAGATTGAATAAACATGGCTCAGTCAATAGCATGCACTTTTAATCGATATAAACGCTTTGTAAACAAACGCATTGTCATGCACCCAAATTACACATGGAGGCCGCCATTGTTGTATTACTTGGCACGAGAATGAATATCTGTTGTCATCCGAATTCACTTACATTTTATCATTTAAAACAATCATGTAAAAAGACTTGTTAAGATACAATGTTTTTAATGAAGTTCCTCTAAATGAAATAAATTTAAATCAAATATATATAAATTTATAATAGATGAAATCAACGGCTGTTGCAATACTCTCAATGATGTTACTTTTACCAAGTAAGCGAACCGATCTCAGGTAAGGTCACTAATTTGTTCATAGTTTCACCATTAAAAACGAAATGAAATAGTTCTAGTGATTGAGTTTATGAAACGTTGCTGACTACATATTTGGTCATGTATGAACAAATAGAAACATACATTTACCTAGTCTAGATATGATGACAAGAAGTTAAACCCCCCTAATAAATTTCAAAAGGTGTAAATAAGTTTTCATTAAAAAAGAAAAAAGATCCACAACAGACGAAAGGTACATAACACATACTTGGGTGATTTGTATGTTAGAGATTCATCTCTAACATTCAATGTTTAAAAATAACTTTATCCAGTCACCCAAATCACCCAAGTATGTGTTATGTACCTTTCGTCTGTTGTGGATCGTCTGTCATCCGTAAGCAGAGATACTTGTATGAAGTTAATGAAGCGGGCTAAGGGACAGGGTGAGTCTTTGGTGGGCCCAGTACAGATTTTGTGTACACATATTTAATGCCTTTATACACAGTATATCTAAAATTGTCACTCAAAGTGAAAAAACACTTGACCATAACATCACCATACGTATATTATAGTGAACAAGTATGCGCGGCCAAATATGTCAATAAACGTGTAACGTTATGATTATGAATGTGTGACTCTTAACACCCACAGTAAGATCGACTTTCCAGCTGATGTATGTCTACTGTCTATAGCATTATTCTGGTATCATATCTGTCCATATTTGTATGCCTTACTATATTCATAACTGTCACTGTAGGAATACTATTTTTTCATGTTTTATTTATAAAGCGCCTAAGTATAGAGTAATTTTGCAAATTATATAGGGCGCTATAAAAATGTTGTACATTGATGTTGTTGTGGTATTGTTACATGGCTCCGCCTGAACAGCCATGTAACAGATGATTTTAATCAGATTGGTATTAATGAATACTGCTTCTGTACGTTACCCCTCGTGCAATAATAGCAAATAGATGCAACTAAGGAGATGCTGTGTTAAAGTGATGGCTTTAGCTATTATAAGTAATTAAGTGCTAATCAACGATCAGTAAGTCAGATTAATATTCTCTACAGACCCAACACTTAGAAAACTGGGTGGATGAAATGAGTATGGTTAACATGAAATGTGTATGGAATGTTTAGGATGAGTGTACTGTGAAGTATATTATAGTCTCCAAAAAAATTGTCATGTGTATGTGCTTTGAAAAACTGAATCAAAATATATATATTTTTTTTTTAATAAGTGCTAATCATTTGGTGTATTTTGACTATAAATGACACCTACGAGGCCATTGGAAATTTGGTCAATATATTATCCGTCAAGTCAACCTTTTTATAATGTTGTAGTATTTAACCAAGGTTTTGCACGGATTCTTTTCAACTTTTCTTGTGTCAAGTGAATTTCTCAATTTATTTTCTGTATAGAGGGAACCACTGTGAGATCTGCCAGTAGTAGAGATGACGATCCGCGTGGCTGTGATAGGAGCGGGAGCGGCAGGACTCTGTGCTCTGCGGCACCTCACCACCAGACAATACAAGTTCCGGGCCGTCTGCTTTGAACAGAACAGTCGTCTTGGTGGAACATGGATTTACACTGATAAGACTGGCGTGGATGACCACGGTCTCCCCATACACTCCAGTATGTATAAAAACCTCACGTAAGTACAAAATTACTGGGAACAATGTGTAAGATATAATCCAGAGAACGTACTATAAAATACACTGAACCTTGGGGGATCATAAAATTAGTTCCGTACGAAGTTATAGAATATCAAGTGTATGAGACAATACTTCAGCCATCTTTACTTAGGATTACGTTGATCCAATACCTTCAAGAAATATGGATATTGGTTTGAAATAATTTGGTTAACAAGATATGACTTCTACATAAGCAAGATTACATAATAAGAATATAAATGTAGTAAGTATACTGTACTACCTAAACTCTGCATTACTCTGGACCAGAGATCGTGAAAGGACCATAAATCTAAAGTTTTCTGAAGTTTTGGCTTAATTAACCAATTACACAGAACGTCTTGAAAAGTGACTTCACACGTTTTTGGCTTAGCAAAAACTGAAGTCTATGATTGTTTCATGATCCCGGGCCAGGATATAGAGATATATTTTGGCCGAACTAAATGATGCTTTGACATTGAATGTCAACGTAAATCGCTCTGACAAGCCTCTCCAATGCATGATCAGTTATTACTGAAAATAATTCGTTTATAATCCCTTTTCAAATAAGAACAAATTTATTATAAAATCACTCAATTGACAGCCAGCTAAGTTGCAATGTTGCCTAGGTGGTTTTATTTCAGTTCATCGAAGTGTGATCTGACGAACCAATCTCCAATACAGATTACTAATTATCTTTCAACAGTAATTTTGCAGACATTTTATTTATGAACAAAACGTATGGACTATTCTTTGTCCAACAGGACGAACCTTCCTAAGGAGTTGATGGCTTTCCCCGATTTCCCATTCCGAGGGGATCTTCCGTCCTATGTGAGACATGGAGACGTGTTGGAATACCTAGAGAGCTATGCAGATCAGTTTGATTTATTTAAGTATATCAAGGTTAGTATACTATAGTCTTTATTGACATTATTTGTTGAACGATCTCCCTCATAATTTATCTTCAATTAATTTTTAGATCGGTAATACAGTTAAAATACTATTAAAATCAAAGAAAATATGAATGATGCGTAATATAAAAAAGTCTTTTCCTTTCCTATAAAAAATAACAGCCATGAAAGCATCCGAATACCACTATGAACATACTACACTGACCTTGGACCCGTACAGTATTACTGTTGGTACCTAGCCCGAGTTTCCTCTGGCCCTGCCACCAGACTTCGACATTTTGACAGATAGGTCCCACACCAGACATCTATCTGTCAAAATGTCTACGTCTTGTGTCAGTGTCAGATGAAGCTCGGGCTACTGGGTACCATGCAAGCAATACGATGTCCGTAGTAGTGAGATGTAACATTGTAATTCATATATTATGCTTCTGTTGAAGCAGTTTGTTGCATAGTAATGAGCATAATGAGGATATGAGGTCTACAGTCAAATACGTTTTTAGTTGTCTAAGCCATTATATCGAAACGTCTAAAGACAACAGTACCCACTTGTATAAAACATCTCAAAGTTAAGGAAAATCTCAAGCAATGTATTGTCTATGGGAAATCTTAGACTTGAGAAAATCTCAAGAGTTGAGATGCTTTATACAAGTGGGCCCAGAACTTATAAGTATCATTTAAGGTCATGAAGAGGTCAAAACGAAGACACACATCATGTTTCATGTAAAGAGTCGAGGTCTTCGACCCTAATTATGGTTTACATGGATCTACAACAAGTTGTTGCTTAAAATAACAAGTTTACCCACTAACAGATACCACATTTCAAGTAATTATCCTGTTGGCTATTTGACACATTTTCTATTCAAATCTGTTTTTTCGCATATAAAACATGTTTTCAATTTTTGTAACAAACTTCTTATTTTTTTCATGTTATTTTTCTTTCACGAAAAATTGTTTCTGTGAGAGTTTTTATCCCTTAATGATTTGTGATAACTACTGGAAGAAGACAGATGTTTATTGAATTCACAATAAGTATGTGTAATTTCAGTTCTCCACTACAGTGATTTGGGTTGAGCCCCTGACCTCCCCCGACAAGGTAACGTGGCAGGTGACGTACAAGGCTTTATCAGACTCTGTTGTAACTCCTGTCACAGAAAACTTTGATGCTGTCATGGTTTGCAATGGGTACGTTGGTCTTGTCTAACTATTTACTGCATGTTCAAACGCCTCAAAGTATCGAATGTACATACATGTATAATGAAGGTTTTGATTTAGCTTTATTGCTTCTATGAAAAATATTTTTTTAACTCGCTTAATAAGAGCGGGGAATTTGTTAACACTCCAACAGATCGTTTTGATAGAGTGGACTAGGCCAATGTCACTAGACACATTCACTAACTATACCATCTTTGTAGCCCCTTCATAAAAGGATGTCAAAAACGAGTACGCGTTGAGGTATTCCTGGTCTTTTCGAAATTTCCAAATGTGGAAGAGCAATGCCCTGAACTTATTATTGATTATGAGACAATACAAAATAGAAAGGAGGTCAATGGATCTTAAAGGTCATCCGAGTGAAATTTTATATTTCTGATGTTATAAATTTATATCTCTGCTACCAGCATTGACCCGAACCCTCAGCCTCTTCTTGAACTTAAATTATAATTCTCATTGTCTAAGAACTATTTCATGAATATTTGTTTTATATGCACTTGTATCTTTCAAATGAAATGTCGTTTGACAGTTTTTTTAACACTTATTGACCCGTCATGAGTTCCCATGGGTGAGTCTCTTCTAGAATAGCAGTGCTGGTGCTCATAAGCTAAGGAGCATTTCATGGAATATTGGTGAAACCTACCAGTATGTTTCAGAGGAGATGTTTTTCGAAAGTTTTCTATCTCGTTATCCCTAATGTTCCCGCTCCACATCAATAGGAGGTGTGTGGTTGGGTTCAGTCCATTCTTGAGTTTATAAATTTGTTCCTTAGCACAGGCTGATCAGTACAACCACGTTTCATCAAAATATAGCTCAACAAGTAACCTTACAATACTTCAATATCTTACGTGTTGTAGTCATTTCGCTGTTCCAATCTTACCCGCCATTCCCGGACTGGATCTGTTCCAAGGTAAAGCAATACACAGCCATAACTACCGTTATCCGGCCGAGTTTGAGGGGAAGCTTGTGGTGTGTTTGGGTGCTGGCGCATCTGGGATTAGCATCAGTGTGGACGTATCAACTACTGCCAAACAGGTAGAGTTTCTACTTTATCACGTACGTCACTGTAAAATAATTAAAGGGAAAGTATAACTCTGAGTTATAGAAGAAGGAGAAAAGTCAGCAAAAGTAGGAAAATCAGACAAAGAAACGCTTACGATTTTCATTGACTGAATTCGGTCACAGGTCTTACTTAATCCGAAGGTTGAGATCTCCTTCTCTACGCCATAGAGGGTGGATTGTCATTATCTTTCCCTAACTTAAGGGTATGGGTAGGAAATCAACCTTAGAAGTGAGGTTTTGAATGTTCGAAAACAATGGTTTCCGTGGGCATGATATTGTAACAATCGTCTGACATTTGCATTGCATGTCAAACTCTTTTACTTCAAGTAACGAACAGTTTAAATCCTTTGTAGACCGATTTAATATAATTATGTTTCAGGTTTACATGTGTCACAGGAAGCCAAGCCTACCGACGTGTCTACCTGATAACGTAGAACAAAAACCTGGAGTTAAGAATGTCACAGAACACACAGTGGTGTTTGAAAATGGTGAGGAAGTGACGGTTGATGCTCTACTGTTCTGTACGGGTTATAGATTCAGTTTTCCTTTCCTGTCTCCAGAGTGTCATTTGACAACTGAAAATGAACGTATAGTTCCCCTTTACAAGCACCTCATTCACACTGAATATCCATCTCTGTCATTAATTGGAATCACAAAGATCATTTGTCCGTTTCTAAACTTTCACCATCAGGTGCTCTTTGTGATTGCTACCCTAGACGGTACTATAACGCTACCAAGTCGTAAAAACATGGATGAAGATACAGCTAAAGACTTCAGCAATAGGTTGAAAGGAGGCATGCCAGAACGCTACGCCCATACTATGGGCCCCCTTCAGTGGCGCTATTATGATGAGATCGCAGACCTTGTAGGATCTAAGCGAATTCCTCCTGTCTTTAAAGAGTTATATGAAACTGTAATGCAAATGAGGAACAAGGATTTTGTAAACCTCAAGTCTTTTAACTATAAGATATCAGGGCCAAACACTTATGTAACTAGTAATGACAATCTAGCAACATAAACTGCTATTAAGAAAAGTCTCGCTCACGGCAACTTGGCCTACTTTTTTCAAGGGGTGATATTTTAAGTGTGTCTTTAAGCAGGTGTGTTTTAACAAACATTGCTCTGAACTGTATAAAATATTTGAAATCTAACAAACGGAAACCAGATATTCACCAGTGATTGAGTATTTCAGTCCATCTTCAGCATCCACTAACTTTAATGTTGTATCAGTTTGATGATATATTTTGTCACTTGACTTCAAAATGATGGGATGATTTTTACACCGATCATTTTCCAACACTTTAAAATAAAATTTACCTCACATTTTATTCTCATCTATTTCCCCTCTTGTCCTTGTATTATTTTACATACTATTTACAGTGGCAGCTTTATAATATTGACATTAAACAATTGAAACATATAAATATATAATTAAAACATTTGCAGAAGCAATTAAAATTACTTTCAAATATATTCTATATATAATATAATGGTTCTAGGACGTCCCCCGCTGTCAGTTAAGATATTATTTCTTCCTTTTTTGCTGTAAACGCTGTAATATAGAAGTATGTAATATATCTTTTAGAAATATATGTAAGTCTATAAACTTATATGAACCATTATCGATTTCTTCTTGAAAAAAGGTAACTCTGTGATATACTCACGTTGCTTGTAACCATCTTTGTCACTACCTTGATCCGTTTGACTTGGGATACGCGAGGTGAAAGCTTTACTGTGTATACGGTAACAATTATGTTTCTTACTCAGTACTTTGTTTTAATAACAAACAGTTAAACAAAAATTAATCACTTACATTGCTGGTTTGTCATGTTATCAAACTGTTTTCACCCTTTGACATTTCGAGGTGTTTCATCCCATGAGAATCAATCAATCAATCAATCGATTTATTTTCTTCCTTGTTTATTTGCCTGCACGTGTGTATGTGTGCCGGAGGCAGGGTATGTTGTTGTATTTAATAAAACGATGAATACTCAGAACATATATACAATGTTCTACTTTTCGTGGAACTATTCAGACATTATATCTGTCCGTTATATCGTCTTTGTGTTCGTGGATTAATCCACTTGCAGGATTGTAAGTATCCACAGGATCAGAAAGGGACATTATTATTTGATTTGACAGCGTGCATTGAAATATAAGATAAAAGCTTACTTAAGGAATTGAACATCGCCTATTAAAAACGTAGGATATATAAATTTGTCTTCAAAATTGTTCAAGATATGAGGCGGTAGTGGTTTTCCCCCAAAAAACTTGTGAAACCCAATAACCCTCTCAGAAATTCCTCGTGTTGCAGGAATTATCCAAATATTACCGTAAAGATTGATGTGCATCACCAAAAACGGTACAGATAAACTTCATGACTTGATTGACCCAGATCATATCGTTTAGGCTGCACCCTCGGCTCATTTGGTTTAATAGGAAGGTATAACAAGTTCAGTGTCGTTACTTGATTTCTATGTTATACATGCATCAGCGTATGGCATTTAAAACGAGCAATGGAGACATTTGTAATTATCAAAAAGATGATGAAATTATTTGAGAGACGAGAATGGAGAAGGTAGGAAGAGGTGATCTAATCTCTCCCTACGCTGTATCATTACACTAGTATGGACCTAAATAAAAAGCCTGTAATAAATGAAGCACTCATCCAATTACAGAACATCGCCAACAGAAGAGTACATCTAAAGTTAAACAGTTACCAAACTCTAAAGAATTCTTATACACGATGCTACCATGAAATGCAGTTTTGACAAATAGTCGCTTTTAATAATATTTGTTTAGAATTGTTCTGCTTGGTTTCGTGTAGGATATCTGAATTACTAACTACATGTATGTCATTATATATGTAATTAAATACATTTAATTTTGTCAGTATCTCTTATAACTATCCATTAAAATATAAGGTCAGATTCTGTAGGATTTCATACATAGTGTCGATTACAAGCCCTGTATACATACATTTCTCGAATCTTTTCCAGTAGTGGATATACTGACATATTGTCCCGGCATTGGTTTTCGAGCAGTATGTGTTTCGAAGCTGTTATTCTGTCCCTGACCATGTGAACGTCTTGCACGAAGACATTTTAAGATTTCGGCACATCATCTGTACACTCACAAAAATGTTTATTAAGTTAGTTCGGAAACGATTTTTCCTATGAGTATAAATTGAAAATCGATTTAGAAACATGCATAACGTTACATGTACATATGTGCCGTAAAATTGTTTTATCTTGCTAAATATGAGCAACAAACTAAGGATTTACTCCTCATCCAGTCTGTGTTATTGTCTATGTTTTTAAGCATTTTTGTTTGTTTTTGTTGTTGTATTCTAATGAATGAATCAAATAAAGGTAAATTAATAACACACATAAAATATAAGCTACAATATATTTCAATCGATTATTATGCGTGTATTCGAGTTGTCTTTCTTGGAACACTTGATCACATGTACAGTTACAGCTTGATCAGAAATCAATCTGTCCGTTTCGAATTAGGTAAGCGACTGTTTGTTATTATTCTTTAAATGCTGTTTTCATTTGTCAATTTTCCGTTTCTATATGTGTTCTCACTAAATACAACAGGTCCAGCCGATATGAGAATGAAATGCGGAGTTGTTTTTAAGGGCCCCGAAACCGATAGAACAAGTATACCTGCTACTGTGCTAGTCCAAAATACCGGCACATTTATTTGGCTGTCTTATTGGTTGGTTACATTTAAAAGAAGATAGTTCGGTTTTTTTGGACTATAGGATACCATGCCGACGCTACTACATTTCATAGGCACCTGCCAGCATATGGTTATTGCCAATTTAAAGTGAATTTTACTGTTTCGTGCGAAAATTATACCGTAGCGTAATAATTCAGTGTATGTGTACCGGTATGATATTGAGCGAACAATCCAACGCATATTTATCAAAGATGATAAGTAGAAGATATAGTCTTTTCATTTCCTAAATATTTCGTTTGATTTGATTGTATAAACATTATAAGTCATTAACTTGCAATCTTTATCAAGGTACACAAACGCATTATGGCATGGAGGCCGCCATTGAAAATATTACTGAACACAAGAAATTTTTCAAATTTGTCAACCGAATTTAGTTAAATGTAGTGACCAATCTTTGACTTTAATAGACATGGTCTGCTAATTCAATCCTAGCTCTCTTGTTTATGCATCAAATTAAATGTATTCAAAATATCAAACGTATTTCTTGCAGCGATAATATTAATTGTATTTGATTCAGTAGAAATATTACTGGTACCGAGTATTTGAACCTGTTACACAATACCGGAAAAGTAATTTATGGGTAAGGTCAGTTCTATTTTCATTATTATCATTCAAAGTTTCTGCCCTTGACTGCATTTTTACAACGCTGTCATTCACACTTTGTCATTTTATCTACTAGCCTCGTCTGTCAATAACGTTTCACCTGTGATATATTAATAGGTATTGTGAACTCACTGGTCATAATTTGGGTCACGGTAGAGTCTAACCACCGGGTCTTGAGAATCTATAACATAATGCATGCTTGTGCCTATCCTGATGAGAAGGAAATAATCATTATATGCTGAAGGTTTTGTAAATTAACACTGGGTAAAATGTCACCGTGACCCTAAGTAGTGTTAGTATATATATACTCACTCTGTAGATACAATGAGGGATTCGACACTCAATAAGGACAGATTTTCTTTTTTTTTTTACTTCAAAAAAATAAATATATCTTTTAATCAAATATTGTTTATAATACTAATCGATATGCCCTAATTTTTAGCTCACAATTTCTTTTGTTACAATAAAATAAAATAAAAAGTAAAGTATCCTTCGCCCCGGCCGCAGTGGTGAATGGAGAGTATAAAGCGGTCGTGGACATTAGGCTTACGAACATTGTGTGTGCTTGGAATTGATTTTGGTATTGGTAAAAAGAAAACATAAAAAGGAAGAATATATTCGTCCCTGCGGATTGTCGAACCCCATAGACGTAATTGAGTCCCATGCTCATGTACTCCATGTTACAAATTCTTGCACCCTGCACAGGGTTGACCTGAACCACGGGCTAGTACCTTAAACATCTCGGGGATTTTTTTCTATAAGTGAAGACTTAAATCATAGGGTTATTGTAAGCAACAACAAAAGTTTGGAATTAATAATGACCTGATCATGCGTGAACACGTGATAACTAATAACATTGACATAACCCATTGTCAGCTATACGGACAGGCGCATCTGAAAGTTTACATTATTAAGGATTTATTCCAATTCAATATGAAATATGCAACATTAGTTATAATCTGGTTGGCCACAGACACTAACAATTACACCGTGTAACTGACTTACTTATTCGCGTAAAAACGTGGTTTGAGACCTAAGACAATTTTACGGAAGGATTATATATTAAACCCGAGAAAAAAGGAGTTCAGCCTACGTTAAGGGGCTGTCACATCTCTGTATACTTGATTGATAAGGAGTTATCTTTACCCTTCACAACCGTTACCTCTATCTCAACAAGAGGGTCTAAACAAAGCTAAGGCAAGACACGGCTTGACTTCAGCTGTGGCTTTTGGTGCTTCTGGGCGTGTTCTGACTGTCTCAACCCTCGTTTAATACGCCCGACTTTGTAAGGTCTGCGTCTGAATTCTGGGCTGTTGTAGTCAACACGGAACGAAGAGAGTTGGCCCTGTGATAGATGTATGTGATTGATTTAATGACCTTTCTGTAGAAACAAGACTTTCTGGTGATATGGAGCTATCATCACGCGAACTGCAGCTAGACAACGTAACAGAGCGAAGTTACTTGTTATAAAGTGGACAGACATATTCTACATTTTCGTCGATCACCTGATCCAGAACTGGAAATATCACCTCTTGCAGGATAGGAACGGTTCAAACGACAGTACTTTGCTACGAAAACAATGACTATACCGTCGGGAATCCCGTAAAGGTGTTTTTGCAGATCTAGACGCAAGTCTAAATGTATTTAGAGAGAAAAAAACGCAACTTCAATATAACGCATATTTTCTTGTGTTCTTGGTGTGCCTTTTCAACCGCACCAGCGGAAATGTATTTTAGCACAATGCAGATGATCAAAACCTACCACTAAGACACCATGGCTTCACACAACATGTCTGGATTCAGCCTCATGAAGATTAACAGAGAGCATGAGGTAAACGCGGAGCCTATGACGGAAACAATCCCGTTATCTATCTCTATTTTTCAGTCATATAGACTGTGAAGTATGACTGATGATTTTATGACGGTGCGACTCGTACCATTGTTACGTGCAAAATGTCAATTTCCAAAACGAAACCAGCAATACGCCACTAAATTACGAGAAAGTGCCCCTATAATCTTCCAGAAATCAGGATTTTCCTGCAGCTGTGTTATTTGCCACTGCGCTAACTGCGAACAAAATTTAAACTCCAATTTCCTTTATCTTTTAACATTTTCCCCCGTACGTCTCCCTTGATGCATCGCCAAACTAATTTGTAACACCAAATTTTGTTTCTCTAGAAAGATGTTAAATATCATTGGGGTTTAGCTGTACTTCATGTCTGTCAATATTTCACGTGTCTATGGAACTTTTCAATAATTTTACGTGTAATGTGGTTGGGATTTGTTTCAACTTATATTGTGAATTTCTCAATTTATTTTCTGTATAAAGGGAACCACTGTGAGATCTGCCAGTAGTAGAGATGACGATCCGCGTGGCTGTAATAGGAGCGGGAGCGGCAGGACTCTGTGCTCTGCGGCACCTCACCACCAGACAACACAAGTTCCAGGCCGTCTGCTTTGAACAGAACAGTCGTCTTGGTGGAACATGGATTTACAATGATAAGACTGGCGTGGATGACCACGGCCTCGCTATACACTCCAGTATGTACAAAAACCTAAAGTAAGTACAAAATATCTTGGAACAATTTCTTGTAAATTACAGAGAAAGTACAGTGAACCTATTGGGACCTTATGAATTAGTGAAGTATTGGTGTCGAGTTTGATGTTTAGGAGACAATACAAGAATCTTCACTTATGTCGATCCAGGGTCTCAAAGAAATACCTTGTTTTGATTAAACTCATTGGTTAGCAAATTATAGCTCCTGTTTAATCTAGAATTGATCATTAGTGTATACTCATAAAATATAGTAAACTTATTATGTTGTATTTTCAAAATCTTAGCCAGGCCATTTTCCTGATCTTGAAATAGTTTGGTCTGAACTGTTAGCTAGAATGTAGCTAATTGCATTGCATTGCCAGTCTTAATTGTTACAACTCGATAAAGTGTTGACTTGATCCAATCTACAATACCCATTACTGTTTATCTGTCACAGGACGAACCTTCCCAAGGAAGTGATGGCCTTCCCTGATTTTCCTTTCCGTAAGGATCTTCCGTCTTTTGTGAGACACGAAGACATGCTGGAATACCTTGAAAGTTATGCAGATCGCTTTGATTTATTGAAGTATATCAAGGTTTGTACAATTATGGAAGTTTTAATTGATTTAATAGATTTAATGTAAAGAAAGAAGGTTCATGGTCTCAGGCATGTTAAGGAGAAGTGGTTAAGGTCAAATGGATTGTGAATTGTACAGATCATGTCTTCAAAACCATTGAAGATATTGTGTCCTACTATAAGATTATCTAATACATGTAGCTGTTTAAACTTAGGCACATGCTGTTTCACTAATAGACATTATTTACATATACCTGTATATGGTGGGTAATCTCACTACGCCAATCTCCCTATTCTGTACGAAGTCATGTTACAGGAGCTCTCGCTTTTGTGTGGAGGTATGTAAACACTACGCTTTGTAGGGTAGTTACCTTTGTTTTTATACCTGTATATATTATGTAAAGTATTTTAATCTGGAAAAAGCAAAGTTGATGCAGTATAGAAATCGTTATTACCTACAACGATAAAGATAGATCTTCTAAACAGTTAATGCCCTCGCATTTTCCCCTTAAGAAATCGGGTATCTGACAGAATCTGCAAAGTTGTCTTCCATGTTGCTACAGTTGTTCGAGTATTTTACTTTGAATGCTTAACTGATAACATAGCGTAAAACCAATTAAAATTACAATGAAGTAAACCAAAACAAAAATAGGTTTAAAAGTCGATGTTAATCGTGGTGTTATGTGATGTGAATTGCGAAACCAACCAAGTAATTTCCAATTATCAAAACATTTAAACTTCTTCAAACTTTTATTAGCACCTCCCGCTTTTGCTGTAAATACGTTGTGGAGCACTTTACATATTGACTTTCCCCTTATGGACGAAATATTTATCTGATGCAACATAAGCTCAGTGTTTTTGGCTTTCTGCACGACATACACAATTTATGTAAGAGTGCACCATTCTTCGTCTTTTAGTGGTTATTTTACGTCCCAAGGTTGGGAATTATCAGTTCCCGAGGTTGGCTGTAACATGTTAGGTGAAATTTATTCTGATGCAGTTTACATGAAATACTTAATTTATCTGTTATATAGTTTGAACGTGCCAAAGGTTTTTATAGGTACATTTCCCTTATAATTCTACCCTTCGAAATGAAGCTGCAAGCTCTTGCAACGCGACGTCTAACGTCTATGTGTGTCCTGCATAGCGACATTATCCAGCAAGTTTAAGATAGGAGTTATGACTATTGACTAATTAATATAAAAACCCATACGTGTTATTTCAGTTCTCCACTACAGTGAGTTTGGTTCAGCCCCTGACCTACCCCGATAAGGTTACATGGCAGGTGACGTACAAGGCTTTATCAGACTCTGTTGTAACTCCTGTCACAGAAAACTTTGATGCTGTCATGGTTTGTAATGGGTACGTTGATCTTGTCTTATCTTCTTTTTCTTTTTTATGCTGAAAGGATGGTGCTCCTTTATTGCAAAGGTGTTGTTTTCAGGCCGTGATTTGTTTTCGCCATATTCACGGCCTGAAATAATAGTCACGAGCAATAATAGATTAGCATGGATTCAATATATACTGCAGTATACGGATGTTTAGAGTGAAACAAGAAATAGATTAAATATCATACACAATACAAATATTTTCAGGTGGACTTGATTTGTTATCTCAATATAGAAAGATGTTTTGAGTATTTGATTAAAATGTTCTGTGTCTTGCATTAAGAAGCTGTCAATCTGGAAATAAATGGGGACAAAAGAACAATAATTTGAAAATCATAATAAACAAAGGAATATGCTTATTGTTTTATCATGTGTTGACGACCGATGTCGATAGATTGGTGCTCTTGATTGATTGAAATAAACATATCTTGTATAAAGCATGGTGACGACGCTTTTTGTTTGCAGTCTGTCTAACATACCTAATGTCTACTAAAGGTGAAGCTTGTGGGGATGACGATAGTCTCAAACAAGTTGAATTGAGCTGAGTTGTTGGCTTTCACCAGCCGTACGAAAACGTCACTCAACTTGTTTAGGGTGAAGGGTCGCGTGCAGGCAGCAGACACACTGCGTCTTCTTTTGTTCTTATCAGGATTCGTAAACTTACGATTGAATAATAAGTTACAATGTAATCTTTTCCAAAATTAAACAGCCAAAATAGGACAACCGCACACAGCGTCAAAAAATGATAAGAAAGCGAAATTGTTCTGAAATGAAGACAATGGTACGAATATTTGCACGCACAAAATAATTGCCTAATTCAAAAAATGAATTATATAGATCACCTGGCATAATATAGGTGTATAGGCATTGAGGTAGACAAGAGGATACATTTTCATTACATTTTACACGATAATTAAATATAATCAACATCTGTTCGTGTGTTGTTATGGAAGCGGTGTTCGTTGATTATTTTTCCTGCTTTTTCTCGCCCTTGATATGCTACTTTATGTTTCAGTATAATGTTTCAGTATAATACATGCGCATGCTTATTATTTCTAAATTTAAAAAAATATTCAATATGAAATTGTTAATGGAGGTAACTCACAAATCACAGTTTGCTAAAATACAGATACATTTCTCAATATTCTCTTATATTGCAGACATTATTCCGTTCCATTTATACCCACCATTCCCGGACTGGATGTGTTCCGAGGACAAATAAGGCACAGCCATAACTACCGTTACCCGGCCGAGTTTGAGGGGCTGCGCGTGGTGTGTCTGGGTGCTGCTGCATCCGGGCAGGACATCAGTGTGGACGTGTCAACTGCTGCAAAACAGGTAGAGTTTCACCAATGTTTATTTCTTATCTCTTTTATCACATGTCGTCATAGAAACAATGTAATAGAATGTATCACCCCTTAATGATAATGACAACCGGAGAGTCAGATTTGTGTTGTCTGAATTCCGATATACTTACTATTCTACGGGTTGAAATTGCCTGTGTACATCATCCAGGAATAATTGATGAAGTAAATATTTCGCTACCTTGAGGGTAAAACAGAGAAATATCAACGTAGTCATGTCATTTTTATAATGTCAAAACAAAACGCTTGCCGAGGGTTTGATATCAAGTCCAAACCTTTTTCACTGAATGACTTTGCTTTTTTGATCCGTTTTTGATATGTTTGATATCATTTTGATGTCGTACTGATTGAATATTATGTTTCAGGTTTACATGTGTCACAGGAAGCCAAATCTACAGACGTATCTGCCAGATAACGTAGAACAAAAACCTGGAGTTAAGAATGTCACAGAACACACTGTGGTGTTTGAAAATGGCGAGGAAGTGACGGTTGATGCTCTACTGTTCTGTACGGGTTATAGATTCAGTTTTCCTTTCCTGTCTCCAGAGTGTCACTTGACAACTGAAAATGAACGTATAGTTCCCCTTTACAAGCACCTCATTCACACTGAATATCCATCTCTGTCATTAATTGGAATTCTGAAAACCATTTGTCCGTTTCCAAACTTTCACAATCAGGTGCTCTTTGTGATTGCTGCACTAGACGGTACTATGACTCTACCAAGTCGTGAGAACATGGATGAAGATACAGCTAAAGACTTCAGCAGTAGGCTGAAAAGGGGCATGCCAGAACGCTACGCCCATACTATGGGTACCATGCAATGGCGCTATAATGATGAGATTGCAGACCTTGCGGGATTTGAGCGTATTCCTCCTGTTGTTGAGGAACTATATGATACAGTACATATAACGCGTGTTAAGGATATCGTACACTACAAATCTGTAAACTATAAGCTGACAGGACCAAACACTTATATAACTATTAATGGGGACAATCCAACAACGTGATACGAACTGATATCATTTATTGTCTCAGTCATGATTTACAGTGAAGCCTTATTAATCAAGCTACTGATAATCCTATTGTCCCATTAACCAGTCAGTACTTTGGGGGACTAGATTGATTTGTTTTGGTCTATCTATCCAGATTCCTCACGGTCCATTATTTGTGCAAGTAATGATGTTAGCTTGATTAACAGGTTAATATATTTGATATAGCAATTAATTTACAGTAGAATCATTAGTTTTGTTAATTTGTTAGTGGCAAGTGTACATGTTGAGGTTTACTGAGCGACATGGCGTTATCCATACTTTATATTGGTGTCTGGTCACAAAAAGATTATTTATATTGACGATAGGTCATTTTTAATATCTTTAAATGTACGGTACAGAAAACATTTTTACACAAGAAAAACGTAAGATGTTTTAACGGTTATGTTTAAAATTGTTAACATTTGTTGCATTGCTGAATGTATATATATATATAAATTATGTTTAAAACTACTAGTCATTAAATATATCGGCGTAAACGCAAGGATTAAGCTTATATCCACGTCAGCACAAGAATGAAACTTCTCCAAGCGTCTCCACAAAAGAATCAAATATAACAATGTCAATATACATTATTATCCTGTCATCACAAAATCGAAGGCTCAGTGTGCGTCACCTTGTGGACGAGACAAGAAAACCTGTTTAATCTTTTGATGTATATTCTTACGATAAACAAACACGTATTCTCCTCTTCAGTGACAGAATGCAGGCCTTAGTTTGTAACCAAGGGTAAGAGTCGCCCGTTTTAGCTGTTTCATGTTTAAGAGAAAGGTTAGTCTGTCAAATTCCTGGAAGTGTTGTGGCTTTGTCGTCAACTTATATTGTCTCGTGTGTGTCACACAGACATCAACCTCACTTATTGATTTATATAAACTTTCACATTATCTCCTTTGTTATTTAATATCATTAACTGATAATTAGCATTACAAAAGCAATCATAAACTATCAACCATCCACACTACCAGGTTTTGTACATATTCGAAATTTTCATGATGCATTCTGTTTCATGTCACTTCGTTTGATGCCAAACTTTTTCCGTGTGTTGATGTTGTATTTTTTTTTATTGACCTTTCACATATGTTACCAATAAGATTAATAAAATCACCATACGCTTTTAACGCGGAACTCTTGTGAAAAGAAAATACATTTCACGCTAAATTAGTGTAGAATCTTTAATTTGAAATTAACCAATACCCCCTATTTTTTATACTTATAAATTCAAGGAGGCACACTCGCCTCAAATTCAACAGTAAGTAAGTAAGACAAACTGGATTTCCGCCTATTTGACACCTATTCTATCGACGAATCCAAGAAGGACGACACTGCTGCATGATGCAGTGTGATTCATTTTCTGGCGTACTTGATATATTTTACTAAATTTTAAGACGCAACCACCTGTATGTGTGACGTTTACCTATTTAAACTTAAACGTGGTCAAGTTGTTAACATTTCTATATATCAATAGTGGAGACTTTGATTAATCAATGTAGACATGTTTACTAGTTGACCTGATACTGCCCGTCCATTGACACAACCGCAGTCTGCCAAACTAATCCTGTTCTAACCTTGGTACATCGAAGATCTGCCCACCTGATCCTGTCACTCCTTAAAGCTTATTGTTAGCATGATAATGAAACTGGGGATATTTTTAACTTATATACCAAACAGACAATCTTATCTGAGTCACGCGCACAGTACCATTTACATATGTGCAGCAACGTATCAAATATAAAAAGATAAGGCGTAAGGAGTTAGGATATTGATTTCTTTGCATGTATCTCACGACAAATGCTAGTTAACTATTATTGGTATTACCTAGTTAGATACAATATGTTTGTATGAGCTTACACAAGATTAACATGGTAATTTTTAAAGGAATTGAAATTATATTCTACATTGTTTTGGTCACGCAACTTAGAGTGATAGAAAGTAATTTTCAAACTTTGGCGTTAAATTTGTCTATCTCTTCTTTTCGCACATTTAAATAAAGTATAAGATCTTGTCATTTTGATGCTATAAGACGAAACGGCTCAAAACAGCCAGTGAATTATTGGGTTTAGGGTTCAAATAAGAAAGTAATATCAATTTCAACATGATACATTTAAATGTATTCATGGTCATAACTATAAGCCTCTTTTCATATATTCTGGGCGATTCTCTACAGACATTACCCAGTTGAGGGAATACAATTGGAAATCAATTGTCAGAAAGAAATGTAATTAGTTGCCTTTGATCTATTACTAGTTCTTGTAACACTGGTCAGAAAAAGTGAAGAAGGATTTGGTATTAAATAAAAATATGAATATATATGACGAAATCATAAAAGAACAAATGTGTATTTTGTTTGATTTTGTCATTTACAATAACGACTCCTCAGTGAAGGTTAAAAAATCTCAAACAGTATTCACTGGCCAAATTATTTACAATGAATCTCAAAACGAACTCTCTGGGCAATTAATTTACAATGAATCTCAAAACGAACTCTTTGGCCAAATTATTTACCATGAATCTCAAAACGAACTCTCTGGCCAAATTACTTACCATACATCTCAAAACGAACTCTCTGGGCACTTTATTTACCATGTATCTCAAAACGAACCCTCTGGGCAATTTATTTACCATGAAACTCAAAACGAACTCTCTGGGCAATTTATTTACCCTGAATCTCAAAACACACTCCCTGGCCAAATTATTTACCATGCATCTCAAAACGAACTTACTGGCCAAATTATTTACCATGAATCTCAAAATGAAATCTCTGGGCAATTTATTTACCATGAATCTCAAAACGAACTCTCTGTGCAATTTATTTACCATGAATATCAAAACGAACACTGTGGGTAATTTGTTTACCATGAATCTCAAAACGAACACTGTGGGCAATTTGTTTACCATGAATCTCAAAACGAACACTGTAGGCAATTTATTTACCATGCATCTCAAAACGAACTCACTGGGCATTGTTTTTACCATGAATCTCAAAAAGAACTCTCTGGGCAATTTATTTACCAAATATCTCAAAAAGAACTCCCTGGGCAATTTATTTACCATGCATCTCAAAACGAACTCACTGGCCAAATTATTTACGATGCATCTCAAAATGAGCTCCCTTTCATATTTGTTAACCATGAATTTGAAAGGAAATTCATCGCCCATTTGTTATATTATAAATCTCAAAAGGAATTCCCTGGCCAGTTTGTTTACCATGAATGTCAAAACGAACACTGTGGGCAATTTATTTACCATGCGTCTCAAAACGAACTCACTGGGCAATTTATTTACCATGAATCTCAAAAAGAACTCTTTGGGCAATTTATTTACCAAATATCTCAAAAAGAACTCCATGGGCAATTTATTTCCCATGCATCTCAAAACGAACTCACTGGCCAAATTATTTAAGTTGCATCTCAAAATGAACTCCTTTTCATATTTGTTAACCATGAATTTGAAAGGAAATTCATCGCCCATTTGTTATATTATAAATCTCAAAAGGAATTCCCTGGCCAGTTTGTTAACCATGAATGTCAAAAAGAATTCTCTGTCAAATTTGTTACCATGAATGACAAAAGGAAAGCCTTTGCAAGTTTGTTTATCATGAATATCAAAAAGAATTCTGTGTCCAATTTGTTTACCATGAATGTCAAAAGGAATCCCTTACCAGTTTGTTTATCATGAATGTCAAAAACCAATTCCATGGCCAATTTGTTTATCATATATCTAACAAATAACTCTGTCCAATTTGTTTACCATGAATCCCAAAATGAATTCCCTGATCATTTGGTTTACCATTACTCTCAAAAGATATTCAAGGCTAAGTTGTTTACAGTGAATCCCGAAAAGAATATCATTTCAAAGTTGTTTACATTGAATCTCAGATAGAAAGCCGTGGCTATGCTGGTAACAAGGAAGTTTCAGTCATTGCGTCAATGGACGTATCACCGACCTGATTAAAACGTGCCCTAGGATGAATAAAACGTTTGGTGACGATCAATGAATGTAATCTGTAATTTTTTATCGCCGCTTTTAGGCTGAACATCTGTCTCAGCACCCATTTGAATGTCCAGCGCACACGTGTTACCATAGAAAGAAAGGCGGACAGACTTACAATAATAATCGGATGTTTAAACAATAGGATGGAATAGTATATAAACTGAAGAGGAATATGAGAAAGGTAAAGAAGATACAGTTTGTCTGTAAGTAAACAACACGTGTTATTTTAGGGTGGACATGATATATACATTGTTCGTCACCTATTTCACGACATAGAAATATTCTATATACTACATACATTTTGATATCTCGAGAATGTTAATACTTTATTATTAAGATACCTATTATCATTATCTTTATGTGAATTTTAATATTTTCATATATCATTATATAGTTTGCCTGTAGTAAGTAATTTTAAAGTGACTTACAGTATACGTTAACGAGTAATACCACAACAGTGCAACTATCACTGATACAAAGTCTTATAACATGTATGTATGTCTTTTGAAATTGGAATCACGAGTTGAGGAACCGATGTATATCATATTTTTCATATTCTTTAAAAAAAGAAGAAGGTTATTGCAGATATGATTTACTGTAGTCTTCAAGGGAGATCATAATGTCTGGCCGAGCAAAGTCGTCCTTATTTCTTTTACATGTTGCCTGATGGTTCTTTATTTGTTACCATTAATATCAATTAACAATGTTTTCGTTTAGTTCAACCCTTTCGATCATGGAGTGGTACACAGTTTTACCCTTTGTCGCTCTTATGTGTCTGGTGCCCACGTCAGATGGTCGCAGTAAGTAGCTTTATAACCTTTATTACTTAGTTTTAATTATTTGTGAAGGACGGTTTCATTCACAATTTCATTTGTTTCGTACAATGTATTGTTCCATGCAGTGCTTTTACTGTGGTATCAGTTAAATGTGATTTTTTTTCTGGATGTAAAGACAGGTGACAAGAATTTTATCAATGCTGTGCAACTATGTAACCATGGTAATATATATACACTAGCCACTTTCTACCGACACGGCTTTGGAGAAGTTCTTTTTAGCTAATTCGGTAGTGCATAGGACTACTAAACCAAAGGTCCCTGATTCGAGGGCTAGCACTGAAATAAATAAATTACATGGTTCGCAGAATTTTGGAATATTCGTTGAATATACATATACTGACCAGTGTTACTATTGAAATATAAACCAAACCATCATTCAATATTAATCGGAAAACAGAGTAACCTCCATCCAATCCCGAAAACCTGGGTTATAATTTGACTGTGTTGGCGATATTTCCATGTATGCTGAAAGTTGTTTATGTGTTATGCTTGTTATTGATCCGTATTTCAGTGTCTTGCTCTAGGAACGCGCAAAACCATTACCGGCTGGTATCCATATATCTTTACGTATAGTAACGTCCTTAACTTGGTATCCATATATCTTTACGTATTGTAATCTTAGCTGTTAATAGGACGTTAAACAAGATAAAACCAAACTAAAACCAAACCTTTACGCATTGTACTCTGTATGACTTGGCATTACGAGCAAAAAGACTATCTAACTGCAATTCTGATTGACTTTACAGCCCCACCAATGTGTGAACATCAGGAATCGTACTACCATCACGGAGAAACTGTTACGTATAAATGTGTCACGGCCATGTGTTTCCGTGGGAGGAAATGGAAAATAGTAAAAGCTGGTTTGTATAGTATATTCTTTCGTACGGATTTCAGATGATTATATCATTTAAAACACTCACTAACGTTTGAATTTTTCCTCGCATTAAGCGATTGAAATCAAATCAAATCACAAGAACGTTGCGAAATACCTTTACTGAATATCTTTAAGAATAATGAAGTTCGGGTACGAGAGCCATCTTCATATCTACTTATACTTCGATTACAGGATGTCCATTCCGGGATACGTGTCTGGAGAACGGACAAACGGTCTCTTCCGGAGAGTGTCAATCCGTTCAGTGCAGGGTGAACAAAAGGATGACAAGAAGCAAACTTCTTTATAAACTGGGTAATATTTGTTTTTTCTTTCCTCGAATTGTTTGCCGATTATATCGATCTGTACCGCCTATCTGAGGAGTAGATTACATTTTTGTTTATTTAATAATCAATTATTTGATCATTTTAATATGCGTGTTCATGTAAAGTAAGGGTAAACCCTCATCAAATCGGTGTCTGCTAATCTGGAACATTTCACTCATTTATTTCCCAGATATTGATATCCCAATACTTATAATCATATATTTTTGATAATCTACATATAATTAATACGTATTCAGGATTTAGAAATACTATATTTATAGACATACACTTATATTGATTCGTTTACAATCGTTTGCCCATATTTAAGTCCTTATAAACAGACACTTATAGTTATTTAATAATAATCACGAACTAATAATCATCAAGCTCTAATCATATACTTTTATTCATTAAATAGTAATCACGAACTAAAGATTTTAAACCTGTAATAATGTACTTATAATAATTTATCTGTAATAACATACACCGACTTAAACAATCATTAACCTATAACTAATTCTCATAATAATATATCTAGGATCTTGAGCTTATAATTAATCGTTAATATACTTATAATCAAAATTTATAAGAATATTACTAAAGTCACATGATTGTTATCAGAAAAAGACTGATGAAAATATACCAATAATCATGTAACTACAATATTATTAATTTTAGACTGAAAACATTCTGCAGAGGAGTTATATGTTGATGTCGATGTAATCAGGAACTGTATAACTAATAAACAGAAGGTTGATTCTTGGATACTGTACAGCAAAATATAAACAAACATTCAGCATGAAGTTAAAGCAAATAACCTTAACATACGACAACAAGTGCTCGAACTCAAAATCGGATACACACTACCACAACAATAAAACTTAGTTAACAACAGGTAAAACTTTAAGTTTCCGCAGGGTGTTTTTCCATTTTTTTTTGTATTCCCCCCCCCCCCCCCCCCCCCCCCCCCCCCTCCCCCAAGAGTACGTCACTGTAAATAAAAGACATTGCCAATTATACAATTGATCGATACATTACGTTGGTTTCATGTCACTCCTTGAAGATTGCCCGTGGAAAGGTGAATGTATGAAGAACAGGGAGACATGGATGGTTAGCTGCATCAAATACCAGTGTAGAGTAAAACAGGACACAGCGAAGGTCATGGTCGCAAAGAAGGGTAAGTCAATATTATTACGGTATGTACACGTACTGAGAATCACCGTATACACAAAGGTCAATTACGCTATGAAATCTGCTACCATATATATCAATACATTATATTTATCAATATTTTATAAGAGATAAAATGTTACAAAACTAAACATTGATCTATATTATGTGACCTATATGATGTAAGAAAACATGAAAACATGTCATTGGTGTATATAAAATACATTATAT